TCCTAATGCAGTAGACTACATTCTTGTTTTATTAGACCAAATAATGTCTTACGGGAGTCCATAACAACGGGACTAACGGGACTATTCTCACCTCTCGTTCCCACCGCTGCAACTCCTATGTAGCCAGGATCTACAGCTTGACCGCCAATAAAATCCCAACCAGTGAAGATCAAGTTTGTCCCACAACAGTCTTCCATCGCGTTCGGTCTTGAGCTTTGCGTTCGATCTCGCTCCAAGTGTTGCTGATTTTCTTCGCTTCGTCTGCTACAGTGCGCCGCCAAGTTTGTTTGGGGCGATCACGTTAGCAGACCCGAAGGGTCAACAACACGAAGTAATAGCCATCATCATCATCATCATGTCAGCCATAGAACGTCCACTGCTGAACATAGGCCTCCCCTAATGCAACCAATCGATCAATGTGGAAATAGCCATCAGAATATCAGCAACAACCTAATTACTAATTTGATGTACCGTATGGCTCTAAAACCCTTTTCTTTGTTCCCAAATATGATGAATCGTAATCCTGTTGCAGTAAAATAAAGTGCACCTAACTGGCTCCTGTTGGTAATCCCCAAATTCATGTACCATATTGTTCTAATATCCTTTATCCTTGACATCCTTGCTCTGTTGCTTTTTGATTGAAGAACAGAATTCTTGATGAATTCTGAAATATTCAGGAATATGCTGTTTCCTACCATATTGTTCACAACCGATCTTTTACGTTCTTATGTAAAGTCGAGACAACTCAATGCAAAGAAAACAAAATGTATAAAATTCTCTTTGCCTAACGTAAAAACAGTTAGTACACAAATAGAACTTAATAATAATGCAATCGATCTGGTAGACTCTACTGTATTTCTGGGAATTACCCTGGATTCAAAACTCCAGTGGGGCCTCCATATAGAAACTCTGGCGGGAAAGCTCAGCTCAGCGGCTTTTGCAATAAAAAGGATACGGTCATTAACCGATGTTTCGACAGCTCGCTTAGTCTACTTTAGCTACTTTCATAGCCTAATGTCATATGGAATCATGCTATGGGGCAAAGCTGCAGATTTTGAAACAATATTTATTTTGCAAAAACGTGCGATAAGATACTTGTATAAAATGAAAGCAAGAGCATCCCTTAGAGAATTGTTTAAAGAAATTGGCATTCTCACGGCCGCTTCACAATACATCTTAAACTGTATTCTATTTATTCAAAAAAATATTACTGAATTCAAAAAGAAAAGTGATATTCACCAAATTAACACTAGAAATAAAAATAAATTGGCTATACCCGCTTTTAGACTTAATAAAGTGTTTGCCACTTTTATGGGACAAGGTATCCATTTTTATAACAAAGTCCCTGATAAATATAAAGAGCTACCGTATAATAAATTTAAAGATATAGTTAAAGATCACATGCTTAAAAAAGCCTATTATACAACTCGAGATTTTCTTAATGATAAGTCATCCTGGGAGTAGGATTATGGTCCTCTCATGCTCGCACTAAAAAGAATTAAAATGAAAAGTAATGTATAAACTCATAATAATTTCTCAAATGTTATAGTGTCATGCTTCTCAATCTGGACTGTTACTTAGCTTTATTATTAGTTTTTTTTTTTAAAGAGATAACTTGGAATTGTCATTCTCACTAAAATGTCTCTGGGGTGGTGGCGTAGTGAGGCGGGTCGTTACATTCCCTCTAATATGGTCGAGTGAAGCGATGGCTGGTTCACTCGTCATGTCTGTGAACAGGCGCTGCTTTCGGGGACTGGTCAATCCAAGTTATTCAAATTTATGTATGCGAGTCATTTCTACTAGTATCTTAATATGTAAGTCTAGATATTAGCACGTCACTACCTTGTTTAATATACCACGCAATCTTGTATACCCATTCTTATAAGATACACCATACAAGAATGCATGGTAAATTCAGTGAACTGCTCCTGAATCGAATGTACCTACTACTACTATTTCTATTTATTTATATTAACCGGCAGACAGTGGTGACTGAGTTTGTTGCGGCGCTTCTTCTCAGCACTTGCCAAATGTTGGTCTCGAAGCGCTGGTAGGGTAAAAAGATTATGAGACATGTAGAGGCTCCTTAAGAGCAAAATGACGATTTGTAAGAACTATTTATTAGTCCAAACAAATAAAGAAATTTTGACTTTGACTTTTGACTTTGACTGAGAAGTAACTTAGTGCAACCCCAATACTGCGTTTTTTAACAGTACAGCCTATGCATACCAGTCGAAATTTAAAGCAAAATGATCATATTCATTTTTGTTTTTTTTTTACAAGTAATAACAGTAAATTGTCATGCATTGTTCTTTATTATAAATGGTCAATTTACTTTAACGAATTTTCTAGAACTAAACACTTAATTGGTTTGTCTATTTAACAGTGTTTGTGGAAGCGTAAATAAAAGAAATGTAATTAATCAGTAATTTCAAACTAAGCTTACTGTAATAAACAAGTAGGAGCGTTATTAATTAGCTGTATTTTTGTTAATTGCTGTTTATTTAAGCCTTGTCTGTCTTGATATTTTAGAAGTATAGAAATCAATTATTTGCGAACCATTAATAATTTTAATTTTTAAAATATCATCTCGTATCTGATTTATTGACATAATTTTGATTGCACGCGCAATGCCAATCCAAATTAAGCGTTCGATTAGCAATTTGACGGAATAGCCAAACAGCAATGAACCTTTTAATTGAGAAAATGAAGCTTCCCTTGAAAATTGATATTGGCCGACTTCCAACGATGTCAAATGTTTACATGGGCTCGGCCAACATTTGGCAAATAGTCGGGTCGTTGACTGCGGCCGGAACTTTGACGGCTACGTGTTGTTTGCCAGTGAGGCTAATTACACAGTACATTATGGCAGAAACTACTAATTACCAAAATACAGCATAGTTACTATGTTATAATGTAGTGAATAATCAGTAATGCCACTGATTTTCATCATATTTTGAAAGATGGTCACTACTTTAATTTAGTACTGTTATTTGCTACTACTAAGTACTATAAATAACTTAAACACGTTTAGCAAAAAGTTATACATATATTTAAAGTATATTTATTTTGGGTAGGTACTTATTTCCCCGCAAAGTAACATTTCAGTTATTGTTCTGAGTGATTCATCTTATCTTGCAGATAAACGTCCATCATAATCTATTTGATAACCGTATATTCATCAATTTGCTTGTCATTATTTATGTTAAGCCGATATTCAGGTATATTAGTTTTGAAGTGTTGTTTCGTACCAAAAATAAACTATCATTCACATCATCATCATCATCATTATCAGCATCATTGCCACTGCTGAATATAGGTCTCCCCCAATCATTTAGATATTCTTCAAATATTCTGTATTACTTTGTTTCTTCTTTTGATACAAATTGTTAGAAATTATTCGTTAGATGTTTGTCTTGCGTTTTAGGTATTGTGCCAGGATATTTTCACAGGTTTTGTGAATAATTTTCATGTGGACTATTACTTTTATTGTTGTTATACCGTTAGCCTTTTTAAATGTAAAATTTTGGAAGAACCAGTCTTTAATTTTTAATCATTATAAACTGCTAAATGTCCTTGAATGCCCCAGGTTCTCAATTTTATCACCGGAAGGCATTATGTTGTCAGATCCGTGCCAGCGGCGTGGAACAGGTTTTATATTGAACATTTATCATGCGCAGGCGCTTACGATTATGTTGTTGTAATTGCTTTGATTAACTATCGAATGGAAATACCGATGCGTTTTCGTTTTAAATTGGATTCGCGTTAATAACACTGTTGTGTTGTGAAACTACGTTTATGAGATTGGAAATTCTTTACTTCTAGTAGGTTGGTACAGAATACAGATAGGCAAATACACGTCAAGTCCAAATGCTGTGGCTTCTAGGTTGTTGGAATATGAGTGATTTTGCCATAACACTGTATAGCTTGATGTTCTATCGTTTGTATTTTGTACAGTTGATAGGACATCAGACTATTAATTTTTGTTGCAAAATAGTTCTTGTTTAAACTACATAACATGTCATTGTCGTCTGTATAGTCAGCAACCTTATTCCAATTACTTATATTAAACCATTTTGAGCAAAATTTTTTTAGGTGTTCATTTTTTGGTTCATAATAAAACTTCTAAATGGCTGGTATTAGGAATTATTCGTAAGTTATTGCCGGTAATTACGATTAAAAAGTTAACTCGTTGCGTGACTCGGGCACATGAAGCGTGTAATAGTGCAATATGATAGGAACGATTAGAAAAGTCTAGAAAGAAAATGGCAAGCTTATATTTTTTGAAAGATAAAGTTTTCACTTGGAGCGATTTTATACGGATGGAAAAAAATTAATAATTTACCTTAATCCGCAATAAAAAGTAATAGAAGTAGCGAACCGGGTACGGTATTAAAACAGCCCCGAGATTTCTTTGTCTAAGGGGGCTGAAAACAACAAAATGATATTTCAGGAACTTAATCACTACCTTATGTTCCACAGCTGCTATTAAAACCGCTTGTTCCCAGTAACGATGTGACTCGTTGGTAAAAAAAAACCATCAAGTAGCACTTACTCGTTTGAACACTGATTACCTATCTTCCTAAGGTTTCGTTAAAAAGAGACTATACACAACATAATTTCCAAATCAAAATTACTTAATTAATCTAAGATTTTCTTGTACGAAAATACTGGTTAGAATGTGATGTGACCGCTTGATTGGGAGTAGGTTAACATATTGATTTGATAGGATTTTTTCCCCAAAGAGTCACAGTTATTGTAATGGTGCGTCCAGACTGGGCGAACGGGCTCGCGCGACACGCTGGTCATCCTGCTCACCCTGCTCTTGATTGAGCAGGATGTCGTGTTTGCCACGCAAGCCCGTTCGCCCAGTCTGGACGCACCATTACACTGACTGTTACAGTGTGACTGGTTGGAATCAATGCGCTATTAACCATTCCACTACAAGACTCATCTTCTATGTCCCACAGCTGTATAACCACTCCGCCCTTACCTTCCAGCTGCCGAAGTGCTGTCTGCGCAGCGGCCATTAGTGCGGTGTCGGCCGCTGCACGCCGCGACACTTGAGTCAAGGAACAAGGCCAAGAAGTGCGCGGAGTTCCTGCAGCCCTACAGGTGGGTAGCGTCGGTAGTTTGTCTTTGCCAAATGTTTTCTCGAAGCACTGTTTAGAGCAGGGTTTCCCAACCTTTATTTCGCTGAAATGGAAAAAAAAAACATTTTCATGCCCCCCTTACCTAATTGCACCTTCTTGGTGCCTCCCTGAAAAGTAACCTTTAGGCCAATGCCCCCAGAATTAAGTTAAGCGATTGAATGGCAATTCTGAACAGTTAGTTTACCTATGCGTCAAATTCAAATAGTTTTATTTTTCGGAAATGCAAACGTACTTATTATGCCCCCCACGACATTTCTCTACGCCCCCGAGAGGGGCATGCCCCCCGATTGGGAAGTCCTGGACCTAGTTTAAAGTAAAAAAAAAACCTACACAACAGCTAATCTCAACTCCTGCGCCATCTGGCACTATTTGAATGTATTAACTGTTTATACACAACCGCCTTTCATTAACGCCATCTACCTGATTTACTTTTAATGTGTGTTGGATTTGTTTTTTGTATCAAAAGGTACTGTTTTGCGTATCGCCGATGTGAGCTCACCCGCTATCTGTCATTTAGTAAATCTTGTTGCACATGCGCACTCTTTAAGATCACTCTTGTACTGTTTGAGTAGATAACCCTAGTCTACACCCTCAACAAATTGATAAGTAACTTTGGCAACATACACATAAAGTTTGCAATACACTGACCGGCACCCAATTTGAGAAACCCTAGTCTACATACACAATAAATTGATTAGCAACTTTGGTTACATTCACTTAAAGTCCACAATACATTGTCCTCCAGACAACGCCCGGAGACTTGCACGGCGCTAGCGCGGCGGCTTGTATCGGGAGCGCTAGGTGTCCGACTGAGCACCGCGCGTCAAGAGCGGGCCGAGGAGCGCCGCCTTATCACGTTAGCCAGGGGTAAGTGCTACGGGGCTATACTGGGTCGGTGTCAGGCACTTGACGTCACGGCGCTGGCGCGGCGACTGGTTTCGGGAGCACTAGGGGTGCGCCTGAGCACCGCACGACAGGAGCGGGCTGAGGAGCGCCGCCTCATCACGTTAGCCAAGGATACGTTCAGGAAAAAGATATAATAAAGGAATTTACAGCGAGAAAGCTACAGGACGATGACAGAAAAAATAAAAATAAAATAGAAAACGCGAGCCGGTAAGAGCGCGTGTATATATGCTGCCGAATCTACGGCTTTCCTCAGCTAAACAGGCTCGTTGTCAGCAGGGCTACTCCGAAACGCTGTTTACGTAGTTTCTGTCTATCTGGCACCGTCACTCATACTAGATTTCGCTTTGCGTGAGAGGGATGGCAACATTCGAAACTTCGGGTAAGTAACTCCGTAGATGCGTGACGTCAACGCGCGTCAGGAGCGGGCCGAGGAACGCCGCCTCATCACACTAGCCAGAGGTAAGTGCTACGGGGCTATACAGGGTCGGCGTCAGGCGCGTGACGTCATGCCACGCGCTAGGAGCAGGCCGAGGAGCGCCGCCTCATCATGCTAGCCAACTAGGGGTACGTACCTGTTGCTATACATTTGTTTCTAATCCACAGTTCTTAACCGTCTCCGTGGCAGTACAAATGGCATCCTGAAGACATAAGCTGGCGATTGGGACACGCCCCTGGATCGCTGACTTAGCTTATACGCCACCAAGGCTATGTTAGTGGCTCCCGCTTCTATTTTGTCTTTCTATCTTCCCCCGCTGGCAATCAAACCCGGAACCTCTGGGTCTGAAGCAGGTGGATACTCGGTGTCAGGCGCGTGACGTCTTTCCACGGACCGGAGCGGGCCGAGGAGCGCCACGTCATCACGCTGGCCAGGCGCGTGACGTCACGACGCTAGCGCAGCGGCTTGTATCGGGAGCACTAGGGGTACGCCTGAGCACCGCGCGACAGGAGCGGGCCGAGGAGCGCCGCCTTATCACGTTAGCCAGGGGTAAGTGCTACGGGGCTATACAGGGTCGGTGTTAGGCGCGTGACGTCACGCCTCATCAGTTGGCCAGGAGTACGTGCTGCGGCTATACAGGGTTGACGTCAGGCGCTGGATTTCGCTTTGCGTGAGAGGGATGGCAACATTCAAAACTTCGGGTAAACTCCGTAGATGCGTGCCGTCAACGCGCGCCAGGAGCGGGCCGAGGAGCGTGGCCTCATCACGCTAGCCAGGGATTACGTACTGCGACTATACAGGCTCGGCGGCAGGCGCGTGACGTCACGATGCATATAGACTCGGCGTCAGGCGCGTGACGTCACGGCGCTAGCGCGGCGGCTTGTATCGGGAGCGCTAGGGGTGCGCCTGAGCACCGCGCGTCAAGAGCGGGCTGAGGAACGCCGCCTCATCACGTTAGCCAGGGGTACGTTCAGAAAAAAATAATAAAGGAATTTACAGCGAGAAAGTTACGAAAGGAAGGACACCAGAACGATGACAAATGACAGAATATAAAATGGAAAACGCACGCCGACGCGGTAAGAGCGCGCGTAGAAGCTGTCGTAGTCCTGGCTTTCTAGTCCACAACGAGGGAGCTCCTGCAGGAAGAGGTCTGATGTCACCTACTGGAAGGTGATAATCAGGTCTAAGGGCCTAAGGTCTTCACCCGGAATCCTCAGCCACAGAGGAACTGCTACCTACACGCAACGAGTAGTGTAGTGTGCTACGTATGACGTAACTTGAAATGGCCACAATAATTTAGTCCATCAAACGTGGACTGCCTCAGATCGAAGACTCATAGACCTGATAAGGCTGCTAACTAACATTGCAATCTTATTATTTCAGAAAAGAAGCGGCAAGCGGCTTTGCACAAGGAGGCTGCGTGGGACGGCTCGCTCGCCAACCACTCGCCCGAAACTTGAGGTAACACACCTCCCATCCCCTTCCCTTCACTAAAATTCATCCCCATAGCATACCCCTCCTCTAATATCCATCACGCATGTCCATTCTTACTGGATTTTTTTTATAGATACTGATCATACTTTTAAGCATGACCTTTTTATTATTATTGCATTCTCATTTTTATTCCTATTATTTCTTCTAAATTTTGTTCTTTTTACATACCTATTTCTTTTAAATACAATATTGTGCGATATGTGAGATATGTGCTTTTACAAAAAGTTTGCATGTTTCGTATAAAATGTTGATTAAAAGAGGATATCTCTGATATCAATTGGTAATATTGGTTTACTTACTTGGCTACTGTTTATCTTAAAGCACTGTCAAGAAAAAAACAGTGGGACATGTAAAACCCTTTAGGGCACCACTTCTTTTTTAATTAAAAATGATATTTATGTAGTTAAAAATTAATAAATTGATTGATCAATATGATTTTACTGATTTACACGAACAAAGACTTGCAAATAAAATATAACCAAGTCATATGATTTATCAACCAAAATCGTAATTTGAAACGTTTTCAATCATCACGAAAAACATATGAACTGAAGACGGTTAACTGTAGTCATAATATGCGACTTATTTTTCTCTAGAACACTTGCGTGTGCCATGCTAGTTAATAAGAAATATTCAACAAACAGGATTTATTAATTTACGAGGGCATATTTAAAAAAAAACAAACCTATTCATTCCATTACCTTCATCAGCACCTCATCATCTGCACATGAATCGTGTAAGAAATATACAATTAACAGGTAACTTAACATTTATTTATTTTTCATTTTGTGTATTATATTATTTACTAACAAAAATTTTGCATGTGATCTTTTAATTGTATTCTTCAGATATAAAAGATTTGGTCTACAAATTACACTAGATTCTTTCTAAATGCTCGATAAGAAGTTTATTCACACATTTATTTTCTCTTTAGTCGTAGCCAATCAATAATGTACTCTAATCTAATGTAATTATGCTTCAAATTCTTTCCAGGTGCAGACCGTTTCACCCGGGATAACGTCCATCCAGACACTACGAGCTCTCAAATAGTAAATGATATTTGTTTATGTAACGTTAACATAGTTTTAGACATAGTTATTTTTTTAAATGCTGGACCCTAGCGAATAGATTACGCGCAAGAGGTTCCCGCCCTTATGCGTACGTGTCATAAAGTTAAGTTTCGTTCGTTAGTTAGTTTACGATCTAGCATAATTTCTGTCTTGTGATTTGACTCAAGCTTCCTGTGCATACGACTGATATCAATATGTAGTTTTAGTTTTGTATTTGGTTTTTAGGGGTGCTACACATGTAAGCGGGTTATTTGGAACAGCTGAGCGGTAAAAAAAGATATCGATGTGATTTCCAAAGGGTCCATGTAAAATGAAAATAAAATAGAGGATCCTTGGTATATGGCAATTCATCCCAACATTCTTATATTCTTGACAGCGACAGTCATCGCAGCGAATGAGTTTAACTTATGTTGAACTATCCAATAAAGCAAATGGTTAATGATACCAAAATGTCTTGGAACCTGTGATGTAGATAAATGTTTGTAATAGACGCCAATTCAAAGGCTGTCGTTTAAAAAAGTTTTGCTGAACCGCTTCTATGTGTATCACGCCTTACACTCAATTATTTTCTCGATAACGCTATAGAAATGTGCATTTAGTTTGTAAGCATCGATAAGTCACGTGACTTGTCTATATCAAAATTGTAACTCGTTTCTATGGCCTTTATCGAACTTGGAATATAAGTTTTAGTACGTGGATACACGGTGACAGTTAAATATAATGGAATTGACGTTTTATATGTCTGAAACTCGGTTTTGACGTTTTAATATCTTTCTATTGAGATACAATTATTTGTGGGACCATATTTTGTCCTTTAAAAGAATTTTACCTCGATGTATCTGCCCTATTTCAATGATCTTTGGTCATAATATCTTCTTTATAATAATAATTGTGAATAATAAGTATTTTATCGTTAAATCTACCTAATCAGTTATTCGCTAAGTATTCTTGTTACCAATGACATTGATCTGATCGGCAAAGTTGCTCATGTGTCTCTTCTAGGGCGGGGAAATGAAATAACAACATCACTTGAGTATTTAATAGAATGCATTTCAGTCACCTTAGTTATACTTTTTCTTTCGAAACTTTCTAGTAAATTAAATTCTTCCCTCTATAATCATCTACCTATATGATTGAATCTCTCAAGGCCCATTTTTTCATATAATTTTTCAAATTAATCTATGAAATAAAATACTTTATGATCTCTCTATTTTATATACCACAAATAAGTTGATTATACATAATTAAATGGACAGCAGTTTTACATAAAATTATCTTATACACGTCGATAAGTTAAAAACCGGTGTCTATACCAATCATAGACAAAGTTGTCTATATTAGAGGCTGCGGCTGTCAAAGTGACAGTTGACATTTTCGTTCGGCAACTTAAAATTTTTAGGTGTGCACGCTAGACTATACCTAATAGCACTCAACCCCAAGATTTATAATTTTATATACCGTGTAATTGCTATGCTCACGTGACATTGGCAAACGTGGAAACAATAGCCATAGATGATAAGAAGAAGTGCTAGTGTTTTGTTTCATTTCCTCGCAAAGTATCTATGTATTGTATAGTATTTAAAAGCCAAATATTATTTGTTTATTGCGTTAGTTGCTGATTTGTGCCTTCGCGTCTAGTCCCGCGCGGGCGAGGAACCTCTTGGCGTTGGAACATAGGTGGGTAGGCGGGATAGCGAAATACGAACTCTATTGTTAAGGTACTCGTAAGTTTAACGTAGACGCGTCCGAAAATTCTCATTTACCCTTACATTAAAACAAAAAGGGAAGTACGCGCTAAAAATAGGTTCTACTGCACTACGTAGGCCGATCCGGTGAGCGAGACAGAGCTAAGAGCTCCAAGCTTAGCGAGATATTATACGCCCGTCACAAACGATGCTTGCTTAAGTGAAGCAGCAAATCGAATGCACAGCGTTGAATAGAGCTCTGTGGTGATTGGTTCGTGTGTCACCTGTGCGTCCTCTCGCACTGTGAGACCTCATACTCATAGTAATGTTTGTGAATACGGGCGATAGTCAGCGAGTCAGAAAGTGACAGTTGACATGTCGAAGTCAAATATTAGGCTTGCATCTAATTTGTGCAGCCCACTTGTGAGACGCTAGTACCGTATCTTCCCTTTTCGTTTTAATCTAAGCATTTTCTTCGCATTGCGAAAAAATAAGTTGCAAAAGCAAGATTAAATTGAACTAGACATTCGCTAGGTTTGGCGTTCTCTGTCTATTGTATTAAGACTTGTAAAGACAGATTAAGAAAACTTTGTGAAAGTAAATGTGTATTGTTTCTCGCAGACAAGTCTTTACCAGTCAATAGTACTTACACTAGTGCTACTATTAGACGATTATGGCGATTATCACACTGCACCGCGCTCCGCCGCGGTACGCGGGACGACAGATTTAATCATTGTATGCAAGTACCTCAGTTTGTATAGAAAACACGCGCGGCACTTCACACTGACAACGCGTCTGCGCGCGGGATTTTTTATATGTAGCCACGCGGACCGCGGCGGAGCGCGGTGCAGTGTGATAATCGCCTTAAAGAGTTTTAATACTCAATATTTTATTGCTTCACCATAATGTATTGTTTCTTTTTTTGTGATTTTACATTTGGCATTGACATATTGAGCCATTTGCATTAAATCAAAGTAATTAATTTTACTAAAAAAGTATAAAAGCCGTAACGAAGATAGCTCAAGCAAATAAAACTTGCACGATTTTTATTAAATTAAATTCTATGTCGATTTTTTGTCTCTTTTATAAGCTGCAAATTCTAGCTTTAAATAGCTATGAAATATCAAATTAATACAGAATCCGTATTTTTTACAAATACTACAATATTGTTATATTATACGAAAATATAAAAATACTTATACACAAAGCCTCTACGAATAAACGTTGTTCAATATCTGTTTCACACGATTTCTTTCTCTCTTTCATAGTAAAATTTATATAGGTTAATACAACAACGTTTATTTGTTAGGGGCAATTATTTACTTAAATGGACAGCCCTTGGAGCTAATTTTTTTAACTTACTTTCTAGCATAAGATTCAAATTGATAGCGAAATATTTTTATTTAAAAAAACTGTCAATATGTCATAATGGTTGTACGAATAAGTAAAAAAATCGGCCCCTAAACGTAAAAGAAGTGATTCAATTTATTTGAAGTAACGCTTTGTTTTATATGTGAATTGAACTGATGATTCAACGATATTTTTATATCCTCCGGGGATAGAAATGCTAGATATGACTGTTTCAACTCAAAATTATGATATTACTTCCAAAATTGACTAAATTATTTAATAAAACAAAAATCGTAGAAATCTTTTGATGTTTTAGAAAATTACATTGATTTGTCAATTAATTGTTATCTGGTTGATGATGAAGTAGAGATGATAAATTAATATCAGCTATGATATACAAAATATTTTTAAAAAACTTTAAAAATATGTTAAATAAATCCAATTAACTGTATCAAGCATTTCCGTCTCTACTTTAGAAATCAGAACTTAAAATACAGGGTGTCTACTTGTTATTTTTCTTAAATTAAGGAAATCTAACTATATTTTTGTTTGTAAATGTATCTTTAAAAAACTAGCATGAGTTAAATTTGGGTGACTTATCTCTATCTTAATTCATATTATATCTGTCTCTTCGGCTTGTCACCCTGTATAAGCATTTATGAATGTTACCAATTATTTTCAAAGCCAAAGATCTGATTTGTTATGGTGGCTTTCGACCGATTGATGTAAAACATTGACGACTAAAAATGTAAAATAATACCCAATGAGTGACTAAATAGTTTAAACTTGCATGTATATTTTGCATGAAAACGAAATATATTATGTTTTTATCTTTCTCGCAGCATGAATGCAAGGTCATATAAATACGCATGGACTTTAATTCGTTGTGCAATATATATTTTTATGTACCTACATATTTAATAAATAAATATAATGCAAACACAATTTTATATTTAATTTATTTATCAAACCGTCCACACGAAACAATAATAAATATTTATATAAGTATGTAGTGGCAACACTATTTACTACGCATTATCATTTTTATTTGTTGATTTTGTGCCTTTAGACTAACTTCCTTATTCACAAATATTAAACATACTGTCTTAAGGATAAACAACACATTCATCACAGGAAATAATATTAATCTATTCAACCAACTTTAAAAAATACTGTCGAATTAATTCTATGTAATGATTGTAACATGTCTAATGGCACTGAATTGAGTTTCAACTGAAATTAATAGAGTATTGGTGGTAAATTAGAACAGTAGCAAATTAATTGCATAGTTAAATTACTGGCAGCTGAAAACCATAAATGCATGAAAGTCCAAACTACTTTCCCAGAAAAGGAAAAATTTCACTTGCATCACTTTGACCACTTTGACTCTACTTTAGCCATTTAGGCTCATGACATGACATACCAAATAAGTAATCTGTGTGACATACATAATCTTATGTGGGACTTATGTAGGTATGTTGCAATTGTATCCATTCCTGTCACACAAAGCGAAAAGCCAACATGCACGAAAGTGATAGATACACCTGAAAATACGTAAACGGTTGAGATTAGCAATTAATGGTTAAAGTGTATTAACCCCTCAAACGTAGCCCGCCGTGTGGGCTTAATTCTTTTCTGGTGACAAACTCGCATGCTCAAAAACTAGTTTTTTAATTTACAAGCTAGTATATTTATTTTATTTATCAAAAGCATGCTACACTGAGAAACAAGGCTTTGTTGACTGACTTTTTGAAATTTTCGAGATATCAATTTTTGTCGACTACAGTCAATGTTGATGACAAGCCTCATCATCTGTACAAAACGAAATATCTCAGGAAATTATTATTTTTGTAATTAAGGAACACGTGAAATTATTCTAAATTTAATTAAATAAATAAATTATATTGTTTGATTGAATAGATCTGTTTTATTTCTAAATTCCCGTGATTATTTTTTTACTATTTTATTTACCTAATACTGAGATGTTAAGGTCAACACACAGAATAATAATAAGTACTAAAACACTTCAAATGAGCATGGAACAATTAAGTCAAATTATACAAATAATTGCCCTTACTATGGGGCTGTGAAAAATAACAATATCATAGACTATTTTTTAAAGTTCTTACTTAGCTTACTTATGAATTCTATACCATGCAAATTGAAGTTACTTAGTATAACTGCGATAGTTGCATTTCATATTTACCAAAAAGTAGAATGCGCGTTCTCAATCTTTAAAAACAGTCTGGGAAGATCACAGGTGCGGATGCGGGCAGCCAATCGTTGCGGTAATCCTTAGTCCAGCTATTGTCCAGCTTATTTGGCTTTCTTGCGCTGCTTCTTCTCAGCACTGGCCCATTTATTGTCCTGAAGCAGTGGTAGGGTTAATACTGGGACGTGTAAAAGTGCTTTTTTAAAGCCTATTTACAGAAATAAATGAGTTTTTTTTTAGTGGACGTCTTTTGGTTGAAACTAGAATGCGTGCGTCTGGCGGAGTAAATGTCTCTATTGTGAGTATTGTGACCCGATTCACAAATCGCCCAGACGGTGGCCGAAGGTCGCACATTGTAAATGAAGTAAAGGGAGTGTGACGGTCGCTTTTGTTCTCTATCAGAACTAGAAGCTAGAAGTCTTTATAACCTATGAAATGGCCATTTTCCATGGATATTGGATAATTCAAAGATAATTTATGTATGTGCCGTACAAACATTTTTCATTTTCCTTAGAATGAAATCTAAATTTTATTGTATGAAGAGTCTCTATGTTCCCATACATGAGTAACGTCTCCTGTATTTTCCCCTCTCATGTAATTGCAATTACTTACATAGGTAGGTTTCAACGGTAGGAACGCAAACTGTACAAGAGATGATTTGAGCCATATGACAAAAACTCACAATAACTTAATAATCAAATTGGCTACCTAGTTAAATAATGTTCACGATTACCTGCAGCCAGAAAGTAGCAAGTTAACCGATGAGCACAACAACACTGTTACTCCTCAAGTTCAGCAGTAACAAACACTGATATTGTGGTCAATGGAATTCCAAAAGCTTGACTAACTCACAGGTAGCTATTGAGCATTGTGCATGCGGGATATTTCTCAACTCGTCTGGTGACCCGCCATTGTGACTGAAACAATGTTGTGCCGCGGATGAGGGAAATAATAAACACTAAATATAAACATGATTAGAAACGGACACTTCCAGTTTATACATTGTCCAACGACGGAATGCACGTCTGATGTTGCTAAAATGTTCCGTGCCGTGCTCATATTTTTACTACTAGCGCGAGTGAACACCGAATTGAAGTCGGTGCAGCAAAGTGTTTATGTTTCGAGGAAGTCCAGGTCGAATTCGGCGCCCATAGAGACCGGCTATGTGTACAGTCAAGTCAACAACAAGCCGGGCACGCTCGCGATGTTTGGCAGCGACGCAAGCAATTACAACTCGTTCGGCATAGGACAGTACAACGACTATCCTGGCGAGACATCCAAATACGACAAAAAGTCAGCGCCCTACAAATATGCTTCGATGGAAGATGTGCGACCGGCTATAATGCCCTACACCGAACCACCGATGTCAAGTTACGACATAAATTACTCAAAATCAAAAGCAGAGATGAAATTCGACTCGCATTACTTGCCATCGAAAATGAAATCCGACGCAATGTACGAGAAGTTAAAGTCGCTGATGCATTATAAATATCCCGATAATGGACCGATGGTTGATGGAGCTTACGACACCATGAACGACTACCGCATTGACGAAGACGACATCAGAACCAGTTCCAGGAGCACATACGACAGTTGGCCTTACTTTTACCACAGTCCCTATGAGTATGAAGCCATGAAGATGGGTTCTGATGTAGAAAAAGCTAAAGACAAACGTTACATTTCCCAGTCGAACCAAGACAGCATTCCAGTTCACGAAGATGTTGATGATATTCCACACTATTACAACAGGCCTGTTGAAACCACCATTCGATATGACCGTGACACATCTGCTGATAATCCTGTATTTGGTGATCAGGCATTTTTCTCGTTTGTGCTTAATGACTATTTTGATAAAAGTAGTGAAGAAGATCCCTTAATTTTCAAAGGACTTGATTGGGGAAAGGAGTTTGACCATGAAGCGTCATTACCTGATATGGATGATTACTTGAAGAGAGATAGACGTTTGGGGAGTAAAAAGAATTACGATAGCAAAACCAAAAATTACGATAACAATGCTAGAGATCAAACCAGTCAAAAGTCGATACAGAATTATGATTCATCTAAACTAGCTGCTGGTGAATCATCAACTGAAAAGGGATATAACAAAAAGCACGCATTTGATAAACATGAAAAAGGTGATGAACGAAAATCAGATAACAGATCAGCTTATGAAAATGCGGGTAACAATTACAGAGGATTTAAAGACTTTGTCGACACCTTCGCAAATAAGTTCGGCGGGGAAGAACACATGAAGGATTCCAAATACGTTCTCAAACAGAATGCTGATAAAGGTGAAAATAGGAAAGGTTTCCGAAGAGTGTACCACAAGGATGAATACCAAGAAGACAATGAATTCTTTGATAATACAAATAACAGTGCTAAGGCTGAAGAGAAAGGCGGTTCGACTGTGCATCGGGGAGGCTCTGAAGCGTTTTTGAAGTCTCATGCTACTGCGGCTACAGGCAACGAAGCAAATGCCTACAATAACGCTGGTAATGCTTTAAACAACAGTTTTGAGAGGAACCATAAAGGACATGATCAAAATAAAGGATTTGACAATGAATTCAACAGATACCGTGACGTAGCCAAGAAAGCAGCTCTAAGTAATAGTGCGGATTATATTGACCGATACAGATCGTAATTAAATCATCGTTAAATGAACTTTTAAGTATGTTAACAATGCATTTTATAGATTATATTGTTGTACTTATGTGTAAGTCTCGAAAGTTTTTTGTTAATTTTAATAATGAAAGTTAGTAGGTACCTGTCTGTATTTTGCAGTAATGCTGCAAAAATATGTAGCACAACTAATGCAATCGACACACGGTAATAGGTCTTATATTTTGCTGTACAACCTATATTTTTTTGGAAATTATATCCTATGCTCTACGACGTCCTATAACTTTTTGTGAATTCTAAAGCTTATAGGTACGCCAACTTCACTCTATTGAATATTTAAATGTATGGACCTACATTATTCGTTCTATGAAATTGTTTTTATTACCTACCCATGTAGAGTAGAGACGACAGCAAATCAGATTAAACATAATGGTTTTGAAATCGCACTTATTGTAATAATTTTAGAGACTACGATGTTTAGCTTATGAGTAGTCTGCGTTGTCCGTAAAAACGTTTATAAACGTAGTAATTTCAACATTGCAACTTCGAAAATTGTTTTTGATAATGATCAATAAGAACACTGTAACTTGTTCATTTGTTAACGTAATTGTAATTATAATACTTTTATACATTTTAAAATAAACTTTTGTAATAAACTGAAGTATCTAGTGTATTATTGAGTTCTACAATAGTTATTTTCCTTCTCCTACTTGCCTTCAAATGATGCAGACATAAAAGAAAATGAAAATATAAAAAAAAACAATTTAGATTGAAATTATTTAATAAAAACAACTGAATTGCGACTTAAGCTATGTACTGTAAACCAAATTCAAACCAATATTAGTCGTAAGTATTGTAGAAAAAACACGATTAAAACATAAAATGATTTCCAGTCAGAGGGTCTACCATAGGATCGTTAGCCAGGTCACTAATGATGTCAGGAGTCATATCTGATGGCGGCCACATTGGTTGGAGAGCATTTGCAACGTTCGTTAAACCTGTCGCAGTTTTATCACCCATTTTACTTGCGATAAACTTGACAAACCAAGGTGATCTTACTACTCTCACTGGATTCTTGTTATTAAATTCCTTACTCTCTTCAGTGTCATCTGAAAACTCGTCATCCGTGTCCCGTTTCGTCTCAATTTCTGGTGCTTTAGTTGTGGTGATAACGTCATCGTAGTAATCCTCCTTCATCTTGTGTGCAGCTTTCTTGGATATACCATTCTTCGTACGTTTCAGAGGCTCCGAAGGAATTACAACTTTGCTTTGCATTTTGATTTCAGGCGGTGATAGTGACGTTGGTCTTGTTTTAGGAGTCTTCTTCTCACCATTTCCTTTAGGTTCTTTAAGTTTTAGTCGCGGCTCTAAAGGTTTCCCTCTTCCAACAAATTCATCGTGATTAACGTCGAACTCGTAGTCATCTAAATTGAAGTCCTCGTCTTCATGCTCACCAGAATCAGCGAATTTCACTGGCGATTTATTCATTTTGCCTTGGAAATCTTCGTAGTCGACTTCGTTAAATTTTGGTATTGGTTTCTTCACTAGGGTTTTTGTCGGTTTGACTTCTTCGGATTCTGTTGAAAGTTTTTTGGTTGTAACAGTAACTTCACGAGATTCTTTAGCTGCTTTTGTTACTTTCTCATCTCTGGACTTCGACCTCATGCTGTACCGTCCTCTCCTGATGTAAGGCTTGAATTCTTCTTTTAATTGAAAGTTTTCTTCTCTAGACATTCCGATGGGGTCTTCGTAAAAAGCTTGTCTGGATACACGAACGGGATGTGTAGGTTCTGTGGGTGGTGTTTCGTCATTCTTCTCCGTTTTATCTATTAATCTGCCATTTATAGAAAATATTGAGAAAGTAGCTATCAGGGTGATCGTTAATGCTTTCATCTTACGTACTGTTTATCCGCTGGTGACTGGTCGACTAGTACTCGCGAGTGTGTGGAGTATAATGTAACCTTTAATGTTATTAGTTATTGTTCGCGTAGAAAGTAAGACAATGTGCCTCTCGTGAGAATGACGACTGAGTAATAGATTTATTTTTTAAACACAATGATTGTACGTATTGTTTATTATTATCGACTGGGTTCCGTGGTCAACCGAGCATAAGATGAACTTATGATTGTATTATAATAATTTTAATTATAATTACTTTAATAGGTACTTCCTTTGGTAGATATTATTTTGTCGTTTTGGAAATTAGTCTTGCATTACTACATTCGAATTATTCCCACAAGTATTTAACCAAATAAAAGCAAAGCTATAATATTGGAAGTATAATCTAGTATGGTATTTTTCTTTTACTTTCGTGTACCTAGATTGTAATTTAATCCTCTTTTAAGGATTTAGGAGCTTTTTAGCATTCGAAATACCTAGTTAGTTTAATAAGACTTTGTAAGGGCTTAAAGTACAAAACAATACAATATAAAGCAAATAGATTCTATTACAACTACAGAAAATACAACGGTGCTTAGATCAATGTGCCGTCTTACGATTGATATATTTTATATTTTAAGCCTTACGTATTTGTACTTGGGAATATAAAATCTGCGTATTTTCAAGTTTTAAGCTAGAAAATCCGTATATTTAATTTTAATTTCATAGATTTAAACTAAATTCTAGGTTCTCTACATACGTTGTGCCGGGTGTCAAGTCAACGCGTGTTTATTTACGTTTCCCCAATGTAAACATGTTTATTTGTTTGCACGAAAAAATAATAATAAATGCACGTAAACAATAGCGTCCACGTTAGTTTATAAGATGAACGTGTCAAATTCAATTCAGTCGCAGGCCTCCGGTCAAGATGAAGATCATAATTACGATCTGTGGCTTGGTCTTATGTATTCATACATTGCCGTCAGCCCAGTCGCACTACTTGTATGCTGACAACCCTAACACAGGGTATGTCAGCTTGAACAATGGGGGAGAAAATTTCCCCATCGGATTTAACGGAAAGCAAAGGAGATATCTGGCCTACCCCAACGCACAAATGTACCAGAGGTCAACTGATCATGGAAATTCAAAAATAACCAAGACACCAACCGAGCCTGCTGAAAACAGGAACAACAAATCCACCTCAAAACAGCAACCAACGGAAAAGCCGAAGAAACAGCAGAAGAAAGACGAAATCAATTATATTCACGATCCCAGAAGCGTCAAGGGGTCGAGAGCAAGAACTGGACAAAACCAAATCCATAGCCAAGCTACGAAGGCAGTAGGCAATGCAAGAGGCAAGGAATATGCTCAATCCAATCAGAATAACTTCAATGGTAAAGGAAACACGTACGATAACAAAGGGAACATAGTTCAAGTTAACGTGCACAAGACGCAAATTCCAGCTGAGCCGCAGAAGGTTAAGTTGAACGCTAATCGACAGTTGACTGCACTATCCGTTCAAAGAAGAGAAGATAACTACAAGAAGATGCCAACGTCCGTATTAGTGGACAAAACTTTGCAGAAATCAGCCAATTTCAAAGAACGTAACGCTCAGATTATGTCCCGAGTTCTAGATGACATGACAAAGAAAGTATCTGATAGGAGAATCAAGAACAACGAATACAAGAAGAGAGACACTCAGAAAACTAATGCTAAACGCAATATTGTTTCGGATACTATGAAAAAATATATCGGGAAGGACATCACGATGGCCAAGGACATCACGATGGCCAAGGACATCACGATGGCCAAGGACCATCAGCCTAGAGATGCAAGGATTGGCAGTCGCGAAGAAGAAATTGAGGACACCAACGCGCCATACGCTCTGTTCTACAGAATGAGCCCTCAATCCTTGGACAACCGCGAGGGTTTCTACCTTATGAAGTCTATGGAGGATGAGGGAGAGACATCCTTCAGCAACAAAGAAAAACGTCTGACCGTAAACTACCAGAATGAGGTCGATCTCAAAAAGGCAAAAACAAAGAAGAATTTTAATACTGTTAGACTTAGGAAGAAGGTAAAGAATTTGTCAAACTTCAGAAGCAATCCCGTATAATTTCCGATTTCCTTTGTAATTTCCTTAGCTTCAAACCGAGTAAGTAAAAATCTCTATACTCGGTCAAATGTCTAATAGCAGATAATATCGATCTATGTAATGCAATTCTTTAAGAATAGTTATTCAATTAAATAAGATCGAAGAGTTGTTGTGCCTGATAAATAAGAAATATTTAAGTGTTTTTTAAAACGGTTTAATTACGTATAATTTCCCAAAAAACCGTATTTTTGTCGGCAGTCATATGGATCGTTTCATTCAGGGACTTTTTACCATCCACTTTTTATACTCACTACTGTCGCAACAAAAAACTGTACTGTACTTAAATGCGAAATTGTAAACGTTTTCTAATAAAATAAATAATAAAAGTGTTTTGTTTGACACAAATATATTACTTTAATTATTATCAAATTTGATTGATTTTATTGCAGTCATTGCAACAGTGAAAGGCGCTTTAATTAAATATTTGCATTAAGTTAGGAACTTTTTTATTTTTACCTGATTTGATCGTAATTAGAACTTAACTCAATCAGTAAAATCAGTATGTTCGTAAGTCAGTCAAGTTATTAAATGAAACATTTACATAACGGCGAAAAAGTCATAATCCCAACTTTATGAACACGATTAATAAATAGGTAGAATCAGATTTTCACGAATTCCGTTTGATGGCATTTATGTTCTACTACAACTTTACCCTGAACTCTACAATCATGTACATAAAGCTAATAAGTTTTATTATTCCATCCAATGCAATTTATGTAGCACAATAGCGACAATAGGCCATGCTTTCAGTAAGTCCTTTGTAGAGCGAACTCAATCGAACCGAGTCGGTATGCGAATGCACTTATCTTTTTACACTCGGGCGCAAGACAAACGCGCAGCCATGCACCGTACAAATTAACACAGGGTTTTTCATTATCATTGACACAGAAGACCATTGCCCAATCTAGAGAGCGCTCTCGAATCGGTCCATTTATGAATGTCAACGTTCGATTCAGTATTATGTTCACTATATAAATGATCGGGTTGACCTTTGTCGTCATTACTCTGTTAGACGTGGACGACGTAAACATGGCGCGGAGAATAGCCGCTTTGCTGTTAGTCTCCGCTATGGGGACCTGCATGGAGATGCGAGAGACTGTCGAGAGGATGGTCATGGTGCGGACTACGGGCTCGGACCTGCAGCCGGCCGCCACAGGCTACATTTACAAGAAAGAAAGCGACGGCCCAGCGAGCGTCATCAAAATGGGAGAGAGTGAAGTCATGGAGCAACTGTCTAAACTCTACAAGCAACCAGAGTCCTTCGCCGCGCCTATTCCTGCCGCAGCCAGTGCATTCTACGCCAAAGAAGAAGATGAAGACAAAGCAGCATCCCACGCGGAAGAACACATCATTCCTGTTCTCGAGAAATCCGACGAACATCACGACGAAGTAGACGGCATAGCTGATGACGACTACGCGAAAATCTTCAAGGAGTACGGGGATTATGGAAACGATTTCTCGGATTACCTTCACGGCCTAGGACATTTCGATCACGGGATTTATCATGGGTATGGGGGAGGGAGTGATTATGGGTCAAAAGGACACGAGGAGCACGGTGATAAGGGATACAAAGGATACGCTAGTAAACATCATTATGGAAAAGGGGGCGCTGGAGATTACCACACAGAAAAGTATGAAAGCTTCTCAGTATCTAGCGGAGGAGGTCATAAGAAAGGTTACGACGAAGCCGACGGTCATGGGAAGCACTACGAACATGGGAACGGTTACAAAGGGGGTGATCACGGACATAAAGAATCGCACAGCAAAGGGGAAGAGGTCGATGGATATCACAAAGTCTTCAACAAAGACGAATTCAAAAAGGATCACGACGTTTATGATGGAGAAAAGGTCGAAGGTGGATTCCACAAGCACGGGGATGGACACTCGCATCACGGATCAGACGCCGGAGAGTTCGAGAAGGGAGGCGCACACAAGTCAGGGCATGACGAGGGTGGTTTCGGAAAGGGTGGTTTCAGTGAGGAGGAGTCCGGAGACGAGCACGGAGCCGGGCACTCCTCGGAGGAAGGAGGGGAGTCCTCCCACCACCACGAGGGCGAGGGCGGCGCCGAGGGCGGCCAGTTCGGCGGCAAGAGCTACGGCTTCGAGATCAAGCACTGACGCGATGATGAAGATTGTTGTTATAGTTTTGTTGACTTTTGGTAGTGTTTTGTAAATATGCGTAGAATAAGTAAATATAAACTAAGCCAGTTTTTCCTAATTGCACTTTTATTTTTGTTTATATTTATGCCCTAATCACTCGATAGTAATATCCTCCCTGTAAGATATTATTGAGCTATTTATATTTTATCTCTTATGCAAAATAATAAATTGTCCCGTAGAATGAAAAAAATCTAAAGCACTCATAATTCAAAAAGTAATCTGTTAAAAAATCGAATAAGTCTATGAATAAAATAAACTCGTAGGCAGGTACTTACATACTACAATACACAATTATTATAAAGGTCCCTATTTTACTCGTTATTCAATAATCATAAAGATATTTTTAGACTGCTCTGGAATAGCCCTAGATCCTAACTATAAGAGATAGGTACTTACTTAACCTTGGTTCTCCATATTTTTCTTTCAAAATTTTACCAAAATTATGATCTTACAGGCGCGTCTAGGCGGGTGGAAATTATAGGTACGGTTGTTAGGGCGCAATCTTAATAGGGAATCTGAAATAATTTTTGTTATAACCTTTTTCCTCTAGTTAGAGGAACATTGTACCCCTGACCCCAAAAAGACCTTGACCTAATTTATGCTAAAATTCTTGCTAATTAAAAACTACGTCTACGTGCTCTCCGCATTGTAAACAACAACTTGTTGCTCAAATTATAAATCTGAAAGTAACTCTAATTTTTCTATGTACTCGTACATGTTACGTTTTTAAATCAAATAAATCATTTCACTTAATATGATGAGTAGGGTGAAAATCCTGCCATAGAATAAAGTTTGTCTAAAAAGGGTTGCTAACGTCACGCTAGCGTCGCTGCATCGCTGTTTTCGACAGTGTTTCACAAATTCACAGTAAAGTTTTATTTTGTAAGCTGCACTGCAAGCAAGCGTGCTCCAAGCGTAATGAAGAATACGCGTCTATGAAGCGACGATAGTCTAGCAGCACAAAGGCAACAGGGTCGTCAAACATAAATTGTTTCTTCAAACGCGATATCTCCAGCTCATCCTAGGATATGTCCGATTTGTTCCTAGGTAATATCGACTGAGGTCACCCTCAACTTGAAAGCAGATAGCATGATCATGAAGAAAACTCAAACCTGACATAACGAACTACTTCATATACCTCATGGAGCTTAAGAGGCAAGAGCCTGTCGATGACGCGTTTTTATCGCGCGTTCCGAATCGCGCCATCGAGGTTCTTAAGTAAAACGCGCGAATGTGGACAGAACGTAATGAACCTCTACACTATCGCGCGATTCGAGACGCGCGAGTAAAAACGCGTACAGGCTCTAACTCTAAGGCACTTTAAAGTAAGGTGTATGTAAATCGACTCGACATCGGTCGACTGTAGGTTTGTTTATGTTCCATGATACATTACCGTGATGATACCAGACCAGACCAGACCATGTAAATATACATTTGCTGCATGGTCTTGGAAATTGATGGACAGCTAAATTGGGTCAAAAACATGTGAACCCCGGAACAGCAAAATAACATATGCATAAAAACTATGCACTGAACTGTGCTTCGAACCCAGGACCTTCGACTTAAAAAACCACTTAGTCAGTGATTAACCACTTGGCTGAAAGAACGTTTGATTAAATTAGTTACTACTACATAGTAGGCACGCATTTACTTATTATAACTTTTCTTGCTAGTAATAAGCTTTAACTGTAAAATCTAAGATAAAAAAATATGTCAATGCAATTATTCACACGTAGGTACCTACATACTCGTAAGTGAAATGTGAGAACTTTTTCCTGAGATAATACCATGCTTCAAAGGTAACAGCTACTTTTGCATTTATAATTAAAAATTACTAATGCGATGAGTAAAGACTGAGTAAGATATGTAGGTAGGTACACTACATGTGTGAGTGACGTTGGTCTCAACTCAACATTTGGCTGCAGCACTGCAGCAGATAGCTGCTTAAATTTGCAGAAAGCATAGGCTTTAGAATCGTATCCTACGCGGCAGGTGTGCGAAATCATTTATTTTCTACGCGGAAAAAAATAGCTCATCATTCCGCTAGGTAGCATAATGACTTATCGATGAATCTTTGCTTTACTGGGGCTATTTGATTGAGACATGTTCATCAATTTTGGCACTGACTGATTCATCGTCTAACCTACATTTCTTCGGCCTTTGTATAAAAAAGTGTCTACCGAAACAATGATTTAGTAACGCTTAATTAATGACTAGGTATCGCTTAATCAACCATGAGTTATATCGATTGTAAATCAACTTTAGCTTCACCATAACGATCAGCTTTTTTTAGGCTTGCTCTCGATCCGCGAAGCGCGTAGACACCTGAAGAAAAAAGCATTTCACGCCTATTCGCCTGCGGTCAGCGCGCCCGTGAATTGCACAATAGCCAATTTTTTCATTACCAATGTCTTTGTCACACCAACCTCGTCTGATAAGCGAACTGTTACATGGTTACGAGAAAGGTACCTCAACGCATATTCACGGTCCTTTGTCTCTAACACCGATATAAATATTGGGCAACAGTGTTATCAAATTATTACAGCACAGGTAGCAGTGCGATACACATCTCAATCTCAACATGGTGAAGATAGCTCTAGGAGTTCTTTCGGCGGCTGCGATCTCAGCGGCGGTGCAGGTCGGCTACGTGGCCCCTGCGGCGACCGGGTACATCTACAGGAGCGACAACGACGGCCCTGCGAGCCTCATACAGTTGGGAGCTCACTCGTACCAGCAGCCCGCAGCATTCGCCCCCGCCCTACCTTTGCCTTTGGCCGAACCCCTGAAAGCTTACGAGGCCTACGATTTAGGTCCAGTGCCATTACCTTATGTCGCCGCTAAACCCATTGCGATCGTAGATGCTGAAGACGATCATGATGATGACGATGAAGAATCCGCGGAATACCACGACTCAGGAGCGTTAGTCGGTCTCGGCCATGGACACGGCTACGAGAAGGGCGACGGCAGTGACTACGGAGAGGAACATCACTCTGCTCACGGCGAGAAAGGAAGCAAAGGATACCACTCCAAGGGACACCACGCAGAGGGTAAATCTGGACATTACGGCAAGGAGCACAAAGAAGGTTTCCACAGCGAAGGAGAAGGCGAGAAGGGATCGCATCACGACGAAGCCGATGCTCACGGAAAGCACTATGAGTCTGGAGAGAGCTACGAAGGCGGAGACCACGGGCACAAGAAGCATCACAGCAAGGGTGAAGACATCACTGGATATCATAAGGTGTTCAGCAAGGACGAGTTCAAGAAGGACCATGACTTCTACGATGTCGCTGACAATAGCGGCCATTTCAACAAGCACGGTTACGAGAAAGAGCACCATGGATCCGAGGAAGGTGGGCACAAGGAGGGTGGTCACCACGACTCCGGATTTGATAAGGGTGAATTTGGAAAGGAAGGATCTCATGCTGAGGGCCATGTTGATGATGCTGATCACGATCATTCTGCTGAGGAGGGCGAGGAGAGCCATTACAGCAACGAAGCGGACTTCGGGAAGAAGGGAGGCGCGTCCCACGAGAAGGAGTACCTTTATGGAGACGACGATGACGATGATGACGACGAATATTAGTAAAACGAATTATTGCGACTTTTGTAAATATCTGTTTATCGTTTCTTGATTAACTAAGTATTTTGTTATGTTTGATATTGAGATAATGTGTATAATTTTATATTTCTGACAATAAATGAATTTTATTATTTAACTTAAAACGTCGATTTTATTAATCCTTGCTTTAATTCATCTAATAGACAAAAAATAGTTAATTTATTTAAGTAATTATTTACACTGGGTTTCGAAAACTGGTTCTTCAATAGCTAAGTAGGTTTCGGTAAATATTACCAATTCGATGTTTTTCACGTAGACATTCGTTAATCTCATACATTAAATCAATGCCTCCTAAAGAAAGACACCCTTCAAGTTCAAGGACAACCTCTAATACGTTTTATACAATAGAACTACAATGTGTCAGTGATTTTACTTCAAATATTTAGTGATTTGAAAATAATTTTAATTGATATGATCTGAAAACAGTATAATACCTAAGTTCCAGATTCTAAACAACGGATTTTTCCGGAAGGTTTGTTAGCTCATCCATATCAAATCTGTGGTCATCATCCATTCTAAGGCACATTCAGATTCAGACATTTTGGTCATAGTATTTTTTTCGAATTAATCCCCCAAACTAAGATCTTTTAGATAAGTACGAAAATTATATCAAAAATTTCAAGTGCGTTTTATTTTCAGTATGTAAGTAGGTAAAGGTACCTACCTACTGACTTTACCGGCAGTCTAATAAAATAGGCTAATGATGTCGTCAAGATAAAGGTAAATAAGCGAGTTGAAGAGCAGTTTGTAAAAGAAGCCCTAGCTGTCCCCTAGCTACAAGAAGAAAAGCAGAGGACGCCCGCGAAATCACTTGATGGACTTGAACCGTTTCAAAAGATTTGGGAAGAATTTAGAAAAGATTTTGGGAATTTCAACAGACATACTCTTTTGGTGTCTTAGAACGAGAAGTGCCGATTCCAAATTAAATAGGAAAAGTCACAGCAAAAGGAAAAGAAGATGAGCAAGTCATTAGGTATGAAGAGTGCCTACATAGGCAATTATTGATCTTACAAATGGACAACTATTCATAATAGTAAAGCCAGCCAGGGAAGGCTTAAAAACGATGTCAATACTAAGTCCAATTACTGTAGAAATTTGGACAAGTGAAAACTGTGGGTCTAGACAAAGTGCAAATAATAATCTCAAACCAGTCGCAAAGTGGTCGAAAAGCCCCTTTTTTGTATGGAGTTTTGACGGATTCGATGTTCGATTCGATCAAAAAGTGCGTTTTGTCTAGGGGGGCTGGACTAGGAGAATGAAATTCCTAAAACTTACATACAGTAAAAAAACGTACGAAATATTACCTACTTTTAGTAATCTAATCAACGAGATGGAGAAGTAAATAAAAAGAAATAACTCAAATGATCGCTTTAAATACTTTAGGCAAGTTTTTAATTTAGCCAAAAAAACCTTAACGAAAGCATTTTTAATAATCCGTTAATGCGGTGGAACTAAAAGTAATTAAAATGTTCTAAATCGATTTTAATCTAATTATAGAACGGCTCTTGAACTGTATCATTAGCATTGAAGTTAATTACCTACATCAATGGTGAAGAACATCTTAGTCTAGAAAAAATAGGCTACTAAAAATTCTTTTGAACAGTAGGGCATGTGCCCTAATGTTCCAGTTGGCCAAGCATGTGCTTGGTATCTTCATATTAAAAAGTCTATTTAATGATGGTATCTAATTAGCTTCATCTTTAGACTACACTAGTCAGTTTACCTGAATAAATATTAAATCCAAGTAGGCCTACTATTACCGCACCACTACCCCATTGAATTGGGGATAAGGAACTGCTTATTCCCAATTTTATTATCAACGGGCTAGATGGTTCGGCTGAACTGAAAACTACTGTGTGCATCTGTAAAAAATTGATTTGATCATTAACCTTACTCGAATACTCATTCATTCCTCAACAAACTATCATCTAAAACAAAAACCATGATCAATGGTTCGATTGCGAAATGTTGGGACGATAATTTTATCAATAGCAAACACACAAAAAACGTTATTTGTAGTAAACTGGGTGGAATGAATCACGAACTGCGAACCTTGACCGATCCGAGTCGTTGCACCGATTACCACTCCAACCATGCAGAAAGATCATCGGTACTCATCTTTATGAAAAAATCATCCTTGCCGGCTTATTTTCCACAAAGGCTATATAAAACCAGACGGATGACATGTATGTCAGTGTCGCAACCTACTTCGATTTCGCAAGAGACGACAAAAAATTAGAACACTATGCAAAAGAAATTATGTTTCGCGCTGTCATTGACTGTGCTTTGTTACTGGACCGAGGCATCGCCCGCCAAGCTGGGCACGTTGGAATTCGACAAACTGGACACTGATCTTGACGACCTGAAGTACGAGGTAGAAGAAGAGGACCTTGATGACTTCTCCAAGCTTCTTGATGAAGCGGATCAAACTAAAAGTGAAAACGATAAAGCGAAGGAGAAAGTCAAAACATCGACATTCAAAAAAAAGAACACAACAAACAAGGGATCGAAGGCCAAGTATGATCTTGAAGATTTGAAGAAATTCTTCAAGACTGTCGGTGTTAAAGACCAAGGCAAATACAATGATGGTGATTTATACGCTGCTATCAAAGCTTTAGTTGGTGAAGCGGTTGGAGTCAAAGGGACTGAAGATAGAAAGTACAAGAAAGGCACAAAAACTAGAGGATTTCATAGAGTCCAGCACAAAGATGAGTACAAGAAAGATAAGGAGTTCTATGAAGATGATGAAACCACTGGGGAAATTAACAAAGTCGGTGGAAAGGCTCTAGGTTACGAAGTCGGTGGTGGGATTGGGTTTAACAAGGGGCATTACAATCATAAACGTCTTAAAGGAGTTTACGGGAAAGAAGGTTTTCTTGACAATGGTTACCTAGATAAGAATTATAATAAATTCTCTGATGATCAAGGCTTCGAGGGAACTTATAGTAACGACAGTTAATTATTTATTGAGTTTAATTTATTATAGGCAGTGTAGGTAGCGTCTTAGTCATTTTTTAGCTTCGTATTTCACTATATTTTTGTCAAGGCAGCTTTTGTATCGAACTCATATGCTTTAATAAAATTGTCGTTTATAAAACCGTTCATCAACATGTTTCATTTTTCAGTGACCCTTGAAATACTATATGAAATCAAATAAGTCTTCTATTCTAGTTGAGCGCTTGAGATTTGTTTGTATCACGTGCTCCTTATCCCAAACATTTTACTACAAGCAGGAATCGAACCTTCAAGCGCTACTTGTTGTTTGTAGTAGCCCAAATGTGAAAGCCACAACTAGATGTGACAAAATCTTCGAAAAGATTATAAGAAAGAAACATGCCTGAATGAACCTAACTAATGTGGAAAATGCAGAATCTTGCATTTCAATCGAAGAAAAACTTCACTGATGTTTTAATTATGTCGAATCGTCGACACACGTTATTAAATCAAGACCGTAGGCCGTGAATAATTTAATATGTCATATCAGGCTATAATAACTTCATTGGCATGCGCGTTGCAATACTCGTACAAGAAAATGCACATTGAAACAGTTATCTAATGTAACTGCGCAAGTACGCCCGGTAGTGAATAAAATTAATTTAAAATTCCTATTTAATAACTGAATTTTGTCAAGCATGGGTTTCAGAAGTGTTTGGATTCTGTACTTATGGGGTAAGAAGAAGCTATCAATAATTTGTGATTGCCAGAAACGCAGCGTTGGAATGAATACCTTTAGGAGGAGCAGGACTTCTGTTATGTACCTACTTAGTCTACTACAGGATTTTTATAAGAAACAGAGCTACTTCGTGAAAGACTTATCGGTGTTCGTGCTAACTCTAAGTATTCTGACACAGGTCCTCGGACCTAATCCAGGCCAGATGTTTTTATATCTTTTTTTTTATTGTCGGATTAGCTGAATTTGCTAACTGCTTAATAGCCTATTTATAATTCCTTGTAATTTTCAGCTCTATGCCTGATAGCTATCTCCGTTAACTCTCTCGAGCTCCGTCGCATGCCACTTCGAAAAGTGTGTTGCACTAATGCCAACACACGCTCCGTACCCGCCGAGCAAAGGCAGCCGTCATTGATTGATCTGCTGCACATAGCCAACGAGAATTTCAAGACGAGTTCGCTGCAGCAGATGGAACGCGATCCTTTCACTGTCGCTTCGAAGTTCGGGCTGACGCCACCACCGATTGCCCAATCCGATGATAGCCTGAAGAAGTTGGAGAGTCAAAAAGCGTATCTCTGTTCGAAGATGTCGTGCGCACCACAGTACATTTCAGGGCCGGTGTGCGCCTGCAACTTTAACACAGGCAAAGTTGTCAGTTTTAAGAACAGGTGTGACATGAAAAAACACAACTGTAGATTTGGTACAGGTAATTATTTGCTAATCTGATTCTGGTTTTCTTTAGAAAGACAGGCAAGCAGGCTTATCATAGTAATTTCGCTTGTATTAGAGCAGAGTTGATGGTGTTGTGACACTTGTGACCCACCCACACGCCTGTATAGCTCGTATAGGTACCTAAAAAGATTGTTCTGTTGTTGTCCTAGCTAGATTTTAAAACGTTTATTTGTTTACAGCCTTCAAGGCGATTTTGGAAGAAATATGCCCGTGGGAGTTTGAAAGCAGACGTCGGGAGAAGACTTACGACTACAACGAATCCAAGTATTTTAATTAAGCTGTGAACTTGAACGAATTGTGTTGTAGTTGTTGTGTAATAAAATGCAGCCTGCAAAGTTGAATATTATTTACACCTTAATTTTACTCTTTACTAGTCCGCAGTCATGCTATTATGTTATTATTATAAAGGTAGCCTAATAATACATAGAAAGAAAGAAAACATAGGATATATAATTAACTGGCTTTCCGCCCGCGGCTTCGCCCGCGTGGAATTTTGTCTGTCACAGAAAAACTTTATCGCGCGCGTCCTTGTTTCAAAAACCGGGATAAAAACTATCCTATGTTCTTTCCCGGGACTCAAACTATCTCTATGCCAAATTTCATCAAAATCGGTTGCGAGGTTTAAGCGGGAAAGCGTAACAGACAGACAGACAGACAGAGTTACTTTCGCATTTATAATATTATTATAGTTGGGATTAGTTGGGATATCATGAGCGTGGGGTTTATTTAAATAATGTGATAAAATATTAATTAAATAAACTTAAAAAAAAGTCGTGAAATTATACCAGTAATAGGTAGCGTGAGGCATCATAATATTTAATGTCATGGTTTATTTATTGAACAAAAACAAATAATAGGTCTATGGTACATCTTGTCTGTCATTCGATCTGTCAATCACCCTGCTCTTTAGTTTATGTGCGCCTTTGCTGAATGAAGTCAAGTGTTTGTGTAAATGATTGTGAAACAAAGACTTTTAGACGAAATAAATGAGGCTCTGTAAAGATTTACTTTTACACATTACTCATGAGTACGGAAGAGACTCTCTTGAATCTCGATTTCGACAAACCGAATACAACACTTGCGCCGTCCATCCCCGATGACGGCGTGGTATCTTTGTCCAGTAGTTCAGAGGAGATTTGTTTAGTGCCAGAGGTCGGTTTCGAAGGCAACGTGGATTCCCCGGGGGTCAATCGGGAGTCGCAGCCGCTGCTGGGCGGCCGCGGTGACTTCGAGGTCTCATTCAACCATTTTCCAGGTACTAAACACTACGACGCACTGACTCATGTTATGTACCTAATTAACCATCAGAGACAACCTCACGGCTCAACAGACGTGTTATTGCGAGTAATACTTGACTATTTATCTTCTGCTGACACTTGTGAGACTTCTCTGAGGATTTGTAGGGCTTCCACACAAATTGTTTAAACCAGTCTGATGAAACATCTGTTCGAAGCGTAATAATCACCTTGAGACGAGTAAAATTACTCGTCATACGCGAACGTTACGTTTTTGTGTTCTGTAATTATGAATGCACACTAATTATTGTTGATATTCATTCTTCTAACTTCATTCTTGTGTTTATTCAAAAGTCTCTTGGGTTAACTCACATGAACATAGCCACAGAATGAAATTTTCAGTGGAGCGTAACAACTGTGCGTACAGTGTTTCAGACAGTATTTATTTTGTTGAAAAACAAGTGATGGATCAGCCCTTTCATTGTGGTGAGTGAATAAATAAAACTGCTGTACTGTATGTTTGTTGTAGCCATTTAAATAAGGTGCTCCAAAGATGCTTATGGTGGTAACGGGCTGTCCATATGGCAGTCAAAATCCACATAAAATTAACTGTATTTGTGAATTCATTTCATCTAATAAATGTGTATGACTGCAGGGAATAAATTGTGTTTATTAAGCTAGTGATTATTTAAATCGACTATTTAATTTTATATGTCATAGCATAGTCATACTGATAAGGAAAAAATAATTTGCTAATTCCAGCCAACAATCATATTATTACCCATTTTTTGTTATTGTATTGTACGGTATAGTATGGATTGTAATAATTTGTTCAGCGTTAATAAATTAGGTGATTTTTATTATTTCCTTAGTTTTCTTTCTAAAGACCTAAAAACAAAAGGGTGACTACAATGTAAACAACCAAACTATTTTGGCGTAAAGTCCTTGACTCAGTTGTAGGTAAAACATTGGCAAATTTTTACATCAAACAGCAAGGTTATTGAAATAACATTGAAGTGGTATCAAACATTCGCAATACAAAAGACGTCAGGCAGGAAAACGTAATTTTAATAACACTTTCCTGACTGGCATCAAGATAAGTTTACAAAATTCTTGCGCAGACCTATGAAATGAAATATACGTCAAAATTGTGAAACTTTTGATAGCAAAAACTGGTTTATGGTAATCAACATGCCTTACCAGTTGGATGGGACAAGCATTACCATTAATTATATTAATGAAGTTAGTGAGATTCTCATTTATCCATATGAATAATTACTAACCATGAATATTTACATTTTATTTTGAACACAACAGTCTGATCTAAGAACTTTTGAATGTTATGTATGTATTTATGTTAATGATTCTGAGCAACTAATGATTTTAATTTATAATAATTGTAATAAGTAAGTGATAATACCGAGTACTAGCTTAGCAACAGAAATGGTGGAATGGAAACGGATGGAAATAGCATTTGCTTAACTTAAGGGCAAAAAACAATGATAACCACAAAGTCCAAAACTTGATTCTCTAGTTAAGGGTGAAATAGTCTTCAATGGTAAACACTAACTTTACCAATTTGTTGCCAGATGACCCACAGTTCAGTGAACTGGTGTGGCAGGCGGAGGTGGCCATTGATAATGGCATCTTCCCAGAGAGGATATACCAAGGTTCCAGTGGGTCATACTTCGTCAAAAATCCTGGAGGGGTAAGTAATTTTTTTTATACATACTCAATATAATTTAGGCGTGATGGTAAATCAAAAATAGCATCTAAGTAGTTGTAACAAATGCTATTTTGCATTAAAAATATAGGTATGACTAGAATATTTTGGAACCAAATTCTTAACAATGTACCAAGCCAATGTTTCCTTTCTTATTAATTAGATTATTTTATGTGGTACTGGCAGTACTCTTTTTAATATCCAATTATATTATTACTTATTACCTACTTCTGCTATTTTAATAGGATGAATAATAATTTATTGCGATTTTAATTGACACCTAATTGCTCATGATTAGTAACATAATTTATAACATTGCACATTGTATCAAGTATATAATTTCTTGAAAGAGTTGAAAATGTTATTTCATACACTTTTTATCACTGTACAAACCATTTTATACATTCATTGAAATAAATGACCAGTGAATCAGTGTGCCTTACATTACATGTCATGCTTTTAATTTAAATAAATAGGTAAAGGCGTCATGTTGGTGTAAACTATGATTCCAAAATAAATGGAATTTGAATTGATTTGATCCATTCTTATCGTGCGATTGCGCGTTGTTGGCCGTCTATGCCGGCTTATAAAATCTAATCTGGCATTGACCTTTATCTAGCTATATCCAGTTAAATAGTACGAAACCTCCCCAACTTGTGGCGGCCAATTGTACCCTATTACGCCGGTTATGCGTTGGCAAAGTGCCATTTTATTTTGACCGATGCGCAAATCTTACTACAACGGAATAAGATTGTAAAAGCACGAAAAGTATTTTTCAATTACGTTTAATTTTCTGCTCTTAGAAAGCTAACAACCTACCTGCCAAACCCTGTTCCTTGAATATGGTTTTGTGTGTACCTATATCCCAACTAATATTATAAATGCGAAAGTAACTCTGTCTGTCTGTCTGTCTGTTTGTCTGTTACGCTTTCCCGCTTAAACCTCGCAACCGATTTTGATGAAATTTGGCATAGAGCAGGGTGAAGAAACTTCCATACAACGGTCATCGAAGTGAAACTTGCTTCCAAACAGCGACATCGGTGAATAAATTCAAATACTTTTTAACTACCCTAAAACGCTCTAGATGTCGCTGCTCCTGTTTCCTTCATATTTTCATTTTTTTCTTAATTAAAATATATTTGAGAATATTGTTAATTACAATGTGAAAACTTCTTTTAAATGAAATTAATTTGTTTTAATTTAAAACTGAACATTGACATTTTTGTTATAATTTACATAATAGAGTAGTAGAAATTACTATTTAACATATGGCAACTTTGCTTTTCCTCCAAAATGGCCGGTGTTGTTTTTGTTAGGTTGAATTGAATGCATTATTGTTTTCTTAGCCATCGTTTATGAGTTCTGTGGCCCTATTAAAGTATTGAAGAGTCGAGTCAAATTCAAGTTCATTCCTTCGTACCTGCTGCTGTTCTGGTTCATCGGAGTTTTGTTCGTTCCTTCGTGAATCGCGAAGAAACTTTCTGTTATGTTCACAAGTGATCTGAGTTTTCTCAATGTGCTGTGTTCTGTGTTTAGTATTGAAAACTTTGCGAAAAGACGCTTTTGGTGTATAATATTATGTGTGTTCATAAATAAAGTAAAATTATTAAATTCAAAAGTTTTTGTTTACTTATTTGCATTTCCATGTGCAATGTAGAATTTTTCCAAATCCATTGTTTTGAAAATAATACAATACGTACACCATAAAGATAAATATTTTCAAAATAATGGATTTGAAAAAATTCTACATTGTACATCATAAAAACAATAATTCTTTGAAGGTTATGAGGGCCTATGTGTGCGTGAACTGTGTGTATGTGTGCGTGGACTTTATGTATGTATGTGTGCGTGTACTATGTATGTATGTGAGCGTTACGTACGTGGGTTAAGTACAGGGAATTTAACACCAGGCTGTCAATTAGTAGGCTCAAAAATTTGACAGAGAGGGTTCTCTATTTCCTATGTATTACTTTTCTCTATGGCATAGAGATAGTTTGAGTGCCGGGAAAGAACATAGGATAGTTTTTATCCCGGTTTTTGAAACAGGGACGCGCGCGATAAAGTTTTTCTGTGACAGACAAAAATCCACGCGGGCGAAGCCGCGGGCGGAAAGCTAGTAATTTATATTTATTTATTTAATTAAGTAATTATGCAGACAGACTGCTATTGCTCTACGGAATAGTAGATCATTTCATTAGATTTCACGCCAATGGATTGAGTGCCTATTTTCTATGTGAACAAAACATGCACTAAATGTTTGTTCACTTATTGAAATGATTAATCCATTCGCGCCAGATATAATGAAAGATTTCACAAGTCAGTGCGGACATCGCCTGACTTGTCCTATTGGAGCATACATTATGTGCGATCGTGGGGTTAAGTGGATATCTAGCCTAATTCACTTATTTGGTATGATTGCTACATTTGCGATATAGGTTACTTCAGCTTTCCCGATTTACACCTAGCAAGCCGTTTTTGCTGAGACTTGGAACATTCCGATTCTGTGGAAAACGTAAACAATGACTGTAGCAAATAAATAAAGCTAATCTAGAGGCTTAGCCCCTATGAGTAACATTTGTTTCGTAATAGCTTTTTAGAGCGTGCGTAGTTACTTCGCTCTGTGAATCTGTGAAGCTATTGCAATATTGGATCTTAGAACGAATTTTACTTTGTCTTACTTACATTCTGGGTCGTACGCTATTTTTCTGAACTACATATTACATTTTTTTTACGTTTAACAGTGTCTTAAATCCTATTGAGGTTTGTCTAGTTACTCTAGTAGATAGACACTATTTGCTTTTAGCAGCATTAAAACCCGTTGAAGACACTTTTTTCCAACTATTCCTCAAATCTCCGAGCCTACTGCTACTGTACTTTTAACAGCACCAAATAATTTCCAGAAAATAATCGGCGTGTTCAAACCTAAAGACGAGGAGCCGTACGGGCGTCTAAATCCAAAATGGACGAAATGGATGCACAAGCTGTGCTGCCCCTGTTGCTTCGGGCGCTCCTGCCTCATCCCCAACCAGGGATACCTGTCCGAGGCAGGCGCAAGCCTGGTAGACTCCAAGATCGGCCTCAAGATCGTGCCAAAGACCAGGGTAAGTGGCTTTACTATACTTCATGGTCCATCAGTCGAACCTTAAATCGAACTCCTATGTTCTTCTGCTTAATTTCGTTGCGGGTCCAATGACAGTTTACTTTGTGGGTGGACGTCCTACGCTGAGTTTTCCGGTACGTGGCCTCCACTCCAGAACCTTGCTGCCCCATCGGCCGTTAGTTCTGCGTACTAACTATACTTAGCAAGATACATAGATAAACATTTTAATGTACACCACGCAAAATTAAAGAAAAAAATACACAATAGAGACAGATTCAGGCGGTCGTATTTCCTTTGGCCATCAAGAGAAGTGACAATATCGTGCGTAAAATACAGGAAATAATTTTTATTTCAATATTGTTATTTTTTTTCCTGAAACTAGACGGCTCGTCATAATTTACGTTTTTTATCTATGACTCATTTTTTATTGTTTTCACTTATTTTTCTTGTAAAGTATAAGTGGATCAATCAATCACTGCAACGATTTATACAAATTTAACAGTCCAACAATACGTGCGCAAGAACTTTAAAAACTCAGTTAAATCAAAATATCAAAAATAAAATCCGACAAATACTAATACTTACGTTTATCAGCTGTAATACTAATCTTATCTGACTAATGTAAATGCATAAAAATGAACCGCGTAAATATTAAAGATAAAGGTTAACGTGGATACATGTTAATATAACAATTACTCATAGGCTAGTAGAGGCTACTAGATAAAGATAGGTCGATAGATAGATACTAATTATTACATGCTAGCCACATCGAATAATACGAAAAAAATAATCAAACAGTGATAAAATCAGTAGGCAAGTATTCTAAAAGGACGATCAAAACGTTGTAAACCCAAGCATAGATTCATTTTCATGATTTGGTCAAATTTCAATATTGACACCAATCACAGGTATAAATTATAACTAAATGATTCTTGGATTAAACAATTTTTTTTCATCCATTGCGTCCATTGCGACTAGAGATGAACTTGCATTATGGTCTCGGGTTTCATTACAACAGGTTACATGGGATACTAAATAAATGAAGTTATATTACAAGACTAACACTGCACTCTAATAACCTGACTGCCCTTTCTTATCAATTATGTTTAACAAAAAATAATTATAATAATTCGTATTTAAATAAAATTAAACCAATCGAATTCTAAACTAAAAAGGTGAGAAAAGGTCGGCGATATCTCGTCTATAGCAAACATTTATCGGTCGAACGACTCGAAGTTTGGAACTGCGTGTGCGCATGGTATAATTTGATACTCGTCCAGTGGCCTCGTATCACCCGATATTGTTGCTTGTGGCCGACGATACCTTCAAGTTTCTAACGGGGCTTTAGAACCAGATGAATGAGTTATTTAATTGTATAACTAGACTGGTCTGGGTAGAAGAAACTTGCTTAGATGAAATTGTCCAAAGATTTATTTATTTATTTATTTAGATATGTGTGCTTGATTGGTTAAACTTGAAACTATTAAACATGGAAAAAAATACTCTCCAAAGCTTAGAAATTTATTTTGATGTTGATAAAAAATCAGTTCAGCAAAAGTCCTAATCAAACTTATTATACGAAATTATCTTAACTGTATATAAATTGTAGTCATTATGTAGATTAGTAAAAATCGGTCCAGTAGCATCCTATTTGAGGTCAGCTACTCTATCAGTGCTTATTGCTCCATATTATTGTATAAATAAATAGGTCAATAGACTATAGACCATCATCAGTAAATAAGATCTAATTTAAGGCCCGGTTTCCACCAAGGATAAGACATTAGATGTTATGTGTCGGGTGGACGATTTTTTCTATAGAATTTGAGAGCAGCGGCGCGGAGAAGAAATGTAGAAATAATTATACGTCTCCGTTCTGCCTTGTGGAAACTGGGCCTTAATATGACTAATAGGGTAAAAATTCATTTTTGAACAACCTTACACAGAACGTGTCTGTCATTTCTTTCATGCATAACTTATACTTAGCTTTCGTCCTTCGTCAATTAGGGTGCCTTCAAATTAGAGGCGCGTCACAGTGGCGCTACTGTAGCGCTTTCTTATGCCTAGCTATACAGCCTATGCTGTGTTGGTTTTATGACTCGCCATGGCAAAATATGATAAGGGGAATTATAAAACGAGCGACTAAAAAAAAAACTTTGCGACTGATGATGGCATACTGTTTTAATACCTTGAGCGGTATGAATTTGAGTAAGCGAAAAATTTACCAAACTAACGACGAATATTGATAAATAATAAAATCCAGAACGAGCTTACAAAATGTGGGTTTTGATTATTACATTTCAGACATAAAAATACTATCCGGGCGACTAAATTACTAAGTGAGCGACTAGAAATACAGAGAGGGCAACTTTAATATGAAGATACATTAGATTTTTCTAATTGAGGTTTTACTGAACGAACTACAGAAAAGTTAATTCTAAGCAAAGTTTTGTGAGCTGCTTTATTAATGATTATTGGTTACTGATATTATATTTGAGTCTCATGTTTTTTATTTTGATACGCTTTATTAATGAAAACTACAGATTGTTACAGCGCGCGAATTCGAATGGGGGCGGGGCGACTGTCCCGAATTTTTAACAAAATATGTATGCAAACACGTTTTGGGTCTAGCAATGGTATTAGCATCATATTAAGTATTATTATGTTCAATACAAACAATCATTAAGTTACACTCACCCCAACCGCGTCTCCGCATTGCATCGAATCCTATGAAAATGTGGTTTTTGGACATAGCAATACTTATTTTTCACAATTTTTATTTTTAAAAATTACTGGTCGATAGGTTACTTTATTTTGAAGAATAAATGTTATTAAAAAGTTTTTTTCTAAAACTGATAGTTTAGCCGGAAAAAAATATTTTCCATCCCATTAGTACGCCGGCTGCGCTCGATTCGGATATAATGACGTCACGCGGCCTTGCGTACGTTGACTTTTAGCGGCAAAAACGGCCTATGTTTATTACTTAATATCTTCGTAAGTAATGGTCCGATTTGGATAATTCAAAAAGATATATCTTTCTTATGTCTTAAAGATTAACGTAGATACTAGTTTTATTGAATTTTCTACAACAGTACTGATCCTCATTCGGCTCAAACTAACAACACCGCCACTGGAAGCAAAACTGATCCTGATATTGGACAAGAAAACGAGGCCGGCCCGCTAAGTCCAAGCCAGCACTTATCATACAGTGACGATGAGTAGGTAGAGCTCCTCAATCCTCATAGGTAACAATCAATGAACCTTATTAATAAGATTACTTTTTTTTGGTTGACAGAAGCGACTTATTTTATTTTGTTTTTTTTTTGTTGATTCGATTTAAGAAAATACAAAGGACATCATCCACGTTTCATATATTTTTGGTCCAAAATCAAAAGTGCCGGCCAACAAAAAAAAGTTCTGTATTCTGACAGAATACGTCTGCCTTAGCATTTGTTACTATGGCACCAAAGCCGTACTCAAATACTACGATGCACAGTGGTGCTACAGCTTTGGTGCCATAGTAATAAATACCAAGGCGGACGTATTCTATCAGAATACAGCACTTTTATTTTTTGGCCGGCACTTTTGATTTTGGACCAAAATGGACGATGTCCTTTATTTCATTTTTCGTAATACATTGTTTCATTTGATTACCTACCCTTAAATTTTAATGATTTATTTTTTTCGCTACTAGAATAGTGTTCCGTCAAATATTTATTTCATAAGATCATTTTTTATTTAAATGTGGGCTCATAATACGCTGCTCATAATAGTATTTTTCAAAGTAGTTTTTGCATTCGAAACACTTCATTAAAGTTAAAAATACCGCTCAGTATAAAAAAAGCATTTGCCAAATATTGAAAAAATGCAGGACCTAACGTTGACACTCAATCAAATATTAGGTCGCTCAAATATTATGAAGCTTCTCATTTTGTATTTTAAGGAACCCATTTTTTTTTTGTAAGTTGCTGTTTTTTTGATTTTTCGTCACTCGCACTCAGTCGCTCACTTAGTAATTCTTTAGCCCACATTGATTATTTTTGACACTTACAACATAAATTGACAGTCACTCGTTTAAATACTACCCATATGATAATGCTATTTTTATGGAACACGTAAATACTGGAAGTTCCCGGCCATGGCAAGATTATTACCAGTTATTGATTGCGCTGTTCTTGGTAAACATTATGATTCAATTCAGTTTTTTTATATGAATTCATTCTTACACTGTCAATAAGGTCGAGTTTTGAGCGTCCTTTCATCATACGGGCCTAAAATAGTGACACATTTATTCACATACTGAATAATTTATCCATCCATCACTCGGGAGCCAAAGTACATGATGTGTTGCGGCGCCGCGCGGCGTGACTTTTGCGGCGTTAGATATTTCTATGTAAGACGACGCAGCGACCACCGTTCCGGCGTTGCACCGCCGCCGCAACGCATAAATAAATAAATATCCTTGGACATTTTACACTGCGCTTCTAGTCCCAAACTAAGCAAAGCTTGTACTATGGGTACTAGACAACGGATATAAACATACTTAGATACTTTTTTTTTTTGTAAATACATACATATTATACATAGAAAACACCCAGTCCAATACAAACAAATATGTTCATGCACACAAATGTTAGTACTGTGCGGGAATCGAACCCGCAACCTCCGGAATAGTAGTCCGATTCGAACCACTACACCAAACGGCCGCCAACGGCATCGTGTGCTTTGGCTCTAATAATGTTATGTGGATATGCGCAATACTTACACACATAGGTACGAGTAATAATCTAAAAATGCTGTATCAATAAAATTCTAACACGGAGCTATAAAATAGAAGAAAAAGAACTATTTTACATTTCTTTGTCTCTCTTTTGAGTACATAATGCTTTTATTTTCTGCACAATATATTTAGGCGTTACCTAAGAGTAACAATAGCGTAATAAGCAGTTACAATTTGCATTTCAAATTAGGTGGCGTCCGTTTGCACTTTGCACACGGTGTAGACATGATAACACTGCCTGCATCCAAAGTATATTAAGATTAAGACAATACTGGAACAAATATTTCATTTTAGATTTAGGTAAGCCCTAAATGACCAACAGACGATCTGATTAAGGTCGCGGGAGGTGCCTGGATGCGGGCGGCGCAGGACCGGTTGTTTGGAAATCCTTGGGGGAGGCCTTTGTCCAGCAGTGGACGTTATTTGGCTGAAACGAACGAACGAGACCCTGTCTTGTTACATCGCAAAAGTGAGAGGAACATAAGAGAGACCTAAGGAAACAGTATATTGATTTAGACAGACAGGACTGGCAGTTTTTGGTTCTCAACATATCTTAAGACTAGAGGACGTTTTACAGTATAGCTAATTGTAAATAAAAAAATAGTCATCATGACCTTCCAACTCCAAGTATCGTCTGTGACTGTCTGTAATGTTTACACTCCCTGTAGCGTATTTCAGGAAATGTAATAAATGTTTTACCCCCATGCTGTTTGTCGTTTCGTAGACGGACTTTTATAAACAACTGAAAAACGTAGAATTATTTTAACCTCTTTAATGCTAATCTATTTTTTTTTGTTTTGTGTCTATTTTCATTTGTTAAACAATAAATTAAATGGACTGATGAAAAATATAAAATATCGAGACGAGTGTCCATTACACTGTATCTTCGATCATTCAAAATTGGATTCTAAGCTAATACAAATACGTGTTGTTTTCAGGTAGTGAAGCTAGTGTCAGAAACGTTCAACTACCTGCGAATAGACCGCGAGCGTTCGCGGTTGAAGCGAGCAATCACCGAGCAGTTCCCAAACTTGAGGTTCAACAGGATGGGACTGCCACCTAAGGTATGCTACTAAAGAATACTTATTTGCAGCACGTACCAATAAAATCTATGGCATTGCAACTAAAAAGTAGTATTTTTTTCATGATTTTTTTTACTTGTTAAGATTTTTGCTTTTATGATACCAAAAAAGATAACAAATTTTAAAACTTGAATAATCTAATGACTGAAATAGGAATCGAACCCACGACATTAGACAATAAGAGGTGGAATTGTGTAAAGCAATCGTAATCATTTGACAGTTCATAACGTACGATTATTCTGTCAAACGAATTGTATAACTGACTTTATCGTACGTTATGAACTGTCAAATGATTACGATTGCTTTACACAATTCCACCCAAGGAGTCCCACATAACCTATTAGTGCTACCATTGCACATACATTACAGTATTCCTCCACCAAATAAAAGTTGTGAATATTTTTCACAGTAATAAGTGCAGTTTGCAACAAAATTAAACTTCTTTACCAATAATTGTTTGCAGGTGGGATCGTTCCAGCTGTTTGTGGAGGGGTATAAAGACGCGGACTACTGGCTGAGGAGGTTCGAGCAGGACCCGCCCCCTCCACACGTCATGAGAAAGTAAGCGTCATATAGTTCCAAAATACTGAACTGTCCTGTCCATGACATTGACAGTGGGGCGCCACCGTCAATACCGGATCGCTGGTTCTGGTTTTTGCCATGTTGGAAACCATATAGTTGAACGATGGTAGCGCCCCCCTGTCATTGAGTTTGGTGGGACAGTTCAACGTGGGTCATCTATAATTTATTATTTATTTCTGGTTGACATAGGTTACCAATAAACAATGACAAAACGTGACTAAATCGCTTCATGGAGCGAAACAATTTCGGAATAACTTGTGCAAGGGGCTTCTGGCAAACGTGATTCAAATCTATCTAATATTATAGCCTTCTGAAATTCATGACAGTTGTTAAAGTGTGTTCTTGCAACCGAGCCCGTAGGAACTCGCTGAAAATTAGTGTCTGAACACGCTTGCGCCTTTTTGGTTTTGGTTGGATCTCGAGTCGGCTAGTCCGACGCCGACACTTATTTTCTTGTTGTTATTTTTATTTTATTTTATTGTTAGGAAAACAAACAGCATTCTATAACACACATAAAGTTACCAATTAAACCAATTAAATTTGTCAAAAGAGTTTTCACAAATAGTTCTTACATAGGTTTCGTTTTTGGAAATTGGATAAACAGAAACAGAAAAAGAAAATACATTTTTAGACGTAGTTAAATACAGTATTCTATTCCGTTTTATTATTACAGGTTCCAGCTACAGTTTGAAAGGCTCGTGGTATTAGACTACATCACTCGCAACACGGACCGCGGCAACGACAACTGGCTGATCAAATACGACGCGCCCAGCGCGCGCGGGGACGCCGTCGCCATGTTGGAGCCTTCGGTAAGTTGAAGCAAAACCACCTCTACAGGGTGACTTTGTTATCAGTATCCAAATTTTTTTAATAAGCTCTTTAGAACAATTTAACGATACAACTGTATCGTAATTATTTATAATCGTGGTATTTTTCGCAAAAAAAAAATATTGAAAGTCTAATTCGCGGGTGCCCATATCTTAAGTTTTAAAGGTTATTGCTTATTTCCGCTCGCCATTATGTTTATTAAGCTTTGCAATTAACTATGTGTACGTATTTTTCCATGAACGTAGCAAATTTTCCACGTGAGTCAATTTGAAAACCGCGCGCAGCGGATGAAGATAATTAAATATGGAGAAAAAAGTTTTGTTTTCTTTACGTAAATTAATTAAGTTACTGATTCTGAGTCGATCCTGAAAATTTGGATACTGATACAAAAATCACCCTGTATATACGGACACGACAGAACATTTTTATATGGCTACGTGCAGTTTGAACCTACCAAACCAAAGGACGTTTACTGTTGGCAAAGGCCTCCGAAGGATTTCTACAACAAAAAAAGAATTCCAGTTTTGCGCTACTCGCATCCAGCTGTTTCGGCATACACTAGATCGTTAGTCTACCAAATGGAGGCCTACCCACACCGCGTCTTCCGGTCCGTGGTCACCAATCATAAACAGGCCAGTCACACAGGGCGATGCAGCGTGCGTGAATCTAATTAATCTTAAATGCTCGTATCTTTGATTCACGCCAAATGTTTTTTTGTTAAATAATGTGATGAAAATTCTTGTGAAAGTTATTCTGTCTATATTTAGTCTATGGTTTGTTCATGCGCAGGAGTGGCAAGGAGCGGAGGTGCGGATCGCGGCCATAGACAACGGATTGGCCTTCCCCTTCAAGCATCCCGACTCGTGGCGAGCCTACCCCTACCACTGGGCCTGGCTGCCGCAGGCCAAGCGCCCCTTCAGCCACGACACCAAGTCAGTGCCGACACGACACACGACACGACACGACACTAAACTATACCACAACCGGCCGCCTACCCCTACCACTGGGCCTGGCTGCCGCAGGCCAAGCGGCCCTTCAGCCACGACACCAAGTCAGTGCCGACACGACACACGACACGACACGACACTACACTACACCACAACCGGCCGCCTACCCCTACCACTGGGCCTGGCTGCCGCAGGCCAAGCGGCCCTTCAGCCACGACACCAAGTCAGTGCCGACACGACACACGACACGACACGACACTAAACTATACCACAACCGGCCGCCTACCCCTACCACTGGGCCTGGCTGCCGCAGGCCAAGCGGCCCTTCAGCCACGACACCAAGTCAGTGCCGACACGACACACGACACGACACGACACTACACTACACCACAACCGGCCGCCTACCCCTACCACTGGGCCTGGCTGCCGCAGGCCAAGCGGCCCTTCAGCCACGACACCAAGTCAGTGCCGACACGACACACGACACGACACGACCCCACGACACTACGACATGACGTCGAGACACGACACTACACCGAGAGTCGAAATGACACAACATTATACTAGGGATGTTAAGGATATGTAGTTTCGGTTACGGATGTAGAAATAATATTATACCGATTTCGGTTATGGTTACGGATATTTTATGATTTCGGATATCCTAAAGTTTCGGTTACTGTTACGGATATCCATAACATCCCTACACTATACTACGACGGGCCAGCCTTCCCCTTCACACACACACACACCTCGTTCCGTGACTGTTGTGACGCTTGTCACTACGACACTATTCAAATTGAAATTATTTATTAACATTATGTGTCAAATCAGTGCCACGACACCACCACATAACTCCATGCCACCATGACAGAATGTTATGCAACCATGACACGACGCCATCATTACGTAACGTCATACCACCACGGCATAATGAAATTCTTCCACGACACAAAGCTATGCCACGACGACACAACGCCATACCATCTGCATCACGAGCACGACACCACAAAAATTATGTTGATTCGTTAAAAAAAAAAATGAAGTCAATATATGCTACGACACAAGTTAAAATGTTCGTATTTTAATTTTTATTACATTTCATTTTACGAAAATTGTTTTATTTTTCAGGGAGCTGGTTCTTCCGTTACTATCAGACATGAACTTCGTGCAGGAGCTATGTGATGAGCTACATGTATTATTCAAAGTAAGTGTATTTGCACACCATTTTACTTGACAAAATAACGGGTTCTCGAGAGCGGAACAATTAAATAGAAAAATAGCGGAGAACGGTTTAAAAATCTACCAAAGCAATTGCACAAAATTCACGGAGAGAGCGGGGAAAAAAAAAGATAGCATGTAAGCCCTTCAGGGCACTTCTACACGTCACAAATATAGCTTGCCCTACCACCACTTCGGGACATCATATGGGCTGGTGCTGAGAAGAAGTGGCGAAAGAAATGAAAAAACCGCGTGCTGGTGATCTAGCTCCGCATTATAATATAAAAAATAGCGTTCCGCATACTTTCTCGCTCCGAACGGTTACCTAACTCCACGTCTATGGACACTCATGCCCGTTTTCACCATCGATTAAGTGCACCCTAATTTTTAAGTGACTCCTATGGTAACATATAATATGAATTTTGTTTTCAAAGGGGTCACTTAAAAATTTGGGATTATTGGTGAAAACGGGCATCAGTCTTCAACCCTGGTTCGCATTATTCCCCCTATGGACAAGCAGTCTAGACCTTCGAGTGAATGTTCTAACTGGTGTACAATTTGTTCTCCAGCAAGACCGCGGCTTCGACAAGGGCCTGTTCGAGCGGCAGATGTCGGTGATGCGAGGACAAGTGCTCAACCTCACGCAGGCGCTCAAAGACGGCAAGAGCCCTGTGCAACTTGTACAGATGCCCGCCGTCATCGTCGAGAGGTAACACTCTTATGCAGCCGCTAAGGGAGAAGCCACACGGTGCGGTGCGGTCGCGGCGCGGCGCCAGAGCGGTGCCGCAGCGGCGTCCTGCATACAGGGTGTTAGGTAAATGGGTATATGAGCCGACACTAGCCCATGTTAACATGGGTATATAAATAATATGGTGAAGTCAGAAAATTGATATCTTCATTTTAATTATTTTAATTTTCATACAAATCGGATTTTATATAATTTATTTTGTATGAAAATTTAAATGATATCTTTCTGACTTCACCATACCATTTATATGCATATGTTAACATGGGCTAGTGTCGGCTCATATACCCATTTACCTAACACCCTGTATAAGAATCAATGATATGCCAGACGGTGCATTCCGGCGCCGCACCGCAGGCACACCGCACTTCGATTGGGCGAGACGGTGCTGTTACGGCGCCGCATACCACATGTGTACAGTGATGCGACAAAATGTTTGCACCGTGTGGCTTCTCACTAACACCCATACAAGCGCTGACCTTTATACAAGCGCTGACGCATATTTGGGCGCTGACGCTCAGAAAAGCACTGGCGCTTACGAAGGCATTGAGCCTTACTCTGGCGCTAATCCTCACTTAAGCGCTAACACTTACGTAAGCACTGACTTTCCCACCCCTTTACTCCAGACACGATCCTCACTCAGTTGCTGACGCTCGCGCAAGCGTAGAGTCTCACTTGAGCGCTGACGCTTTATCAGACGCTGATAAATCGTAAGTGTTTAAGGATGGTAAGAAGCCATAACACGTTAGTAGTGTCACGTGTTTTGGGTATTTTTTATGGGCGAATCTGTAAGACAAATTACCAACTCTTCGTCAAAAATGTAGTAAAAGTAATTTATTTTATACACATAAAAACGATTGGGCTGGTTGGCATGGGTTAGAAGACGTAGCGTGGGTAGGCCTACTAGGTGGACCGACGATCTGTGATCTAATTCACGTATTTTGACAGTCAAGATCTCGCTGACGTTCAGAAGTCGTTCCATTGAAAAACAGTTCTAAATCCGTATTCACAAGGGTCATTTTCGATAGAACGATTACTCGATAGGATCACAACTCAGCGATTTGTTGTCATTTAAGTTTTGTTACGTGAATAATGCTACTGGTAAAGATCGCGGGAAGAACCTGGATGCGGGCAGCCTTTGTCTAGCAGTGAACGTCATTTGGCTGAAACGAACGAACGAACGAAAAACGGTTACATTCCTGAATACTAAACGACTCTTATTCCCCGCAGGTCCAAAAGCGGCACGACGTCGTCGCGATTCTTCGACTCGTTCCAGCAGCGCTTCCAGCACAAGTCGCCCTTCTTCTCCTGGTGGTGAACCACAAGACTCCTCCGCCAGGTTTGTACAAACCTTGTTTTTTACTTCATCATCATAATCATTTCAGCCACAAAGTCAAAATTTCTTTATTTGTTTAGACTAATAAATAGTTCTTACAAATCGTCATTTTGCTCTTAAGGAGCCTTTACATGTCTCATAATCTTTTTGCCCTACCAGCGCTTCGAGACCAACATTTGGCAAGTGCTGGGAAGAAGCGCCGCAACAAACTCAGTCAGCATTGTCTGCCGTTTAATATAAATAAATAAACAGGACGTCCACTGCTGAACATAGGCCTCCTCAATGATTTCCACATCCTCCGGTTGGTAGCGGCCTGCAAACAGCGCCTTCGTGTTTTTTACTTACAACTAGGAATTTATTTGCCTGTATCATGTGATCGAAAATTTCTTCACACTAGATGATCAGTTTTTCAAAAAGCTTACTGCAAACAGCTTACGACGCCTTACGTACAGGCTGATTTACACATATTAAGTAGACCACCATCTTACCCGAAAAATTAAGTTAAAAAGTTACGATGCTAAGTTTTTTTTTAAGAGATAAAATCACTTAAAATTAAGTAAAGTACTTAACTACTATATGTGTAAATCAGCCTTAAACGTGAGTATAGACTAGACTTTGAGCCATACATACATGACTTAACTTCAAAGTATAAAGAAAATATTTTTCTTTCCAGATAACAGACACAGTATAGTTCAGCGGCGACTATGGTAAATAGTAAACAATTGTATGTATATGTATGTATGATGTAGATTAGTGCATTTTAAAATTATTATAATGTAAAAACTGCTGGAAATGTAGTGCGTAAGAGGAAAAGTAATGTGATATTTTTCTTCAGTCAATCAATACCAATTCTTTTTATTTTAAATCAAATACAGTTTACAAAAAAAAAGGGTTAAGTATATGTTAACATGTTCTAGTTCCTACTAAGGTTACTGTTAAAATATGAAATATAATCAGTCTACGCTAGTCACTACTAAAGCCTGGTCCGTGAGCACGTAGAATCCCGTCCAATGACCCCAAGCTACCCATCCCTATCGCTCGCGCGTAATTATGTTGCGCGTCGCACAGTCGCGACAGCAACATAATTATGCTTGGGGTCATTGGACGGGATTCTACGTGCTCACGGACCAGGCTTTAGACTTAGCTAGTGTCACGCACATTCCATAGAATTCTAGTTACGAAAGTACCCACAATAGTGACGCTAGTATCTCTATAGAAAACATCTGTCAATATTCTTGTTAAAGCAGGTTGAGGTGTGAGCTAAGCAAAGCTTTAACACAAGCCAGCAAGGTACAAAATAATATTGCATACCTGTTTATAATTTTTTGTCCTTACAATTCGTCACGATGTGAGGGAGAAGGAACATCACATTACTTTTGTTCGTACGCCGTTTATATTAATTTGTGACGTTACCCATATAACTATTTGCTTTAGACTCTGTTATTTTTATACACTATTTTGTAATTACGTTTTTATCATTTTCTCATTACCTAAGTGTTGTTATTCCATCGAAATATAACGAAAATTTATGAAAATAGTCGGAGTGTTTGATCGGACTAAACTAGTCGAATTCGTACGGAGATGGTTCAACTAATTTTGCTAGTTTGAAAAATAATTGAAGTGTCTAGTTCATAGCAGGCGTAAGTTTTAAATCGTTTCATCCACGAAGACGCGTCCCACCGATTTTTGGTCGAGGGAAGCGCGGGGTGCGGGGAGTTTGATCCGAGCAATCCGAGCGGCATATTTGTAGTGTGCGTGTGCACTCATGGATAATTTAGCGTGTACCGATAACACTCAAACATTAACGGAAGAATGGTGGGGCGCGTCTTCGTGGATGAAACGATCTATACGTTTCGATACAAACTGACAACTGACAGCTGTCAAATTGGATGGAAACAAACTCGCGCAACTGTAAAGTCATGCCTAAAATACATTACCGTCATAGAAAAATAGACTAACGAATACGAATGATACTAAATTCTAGAAATCTAAAGAAACTAGAATTTTATCACACTGGTGAACATTTAAAATCTAATCAAGTATAATTTTTCTCTATTATGAGTCGCGTTGATACATTATAAGCGACTAAATGCATGAAGTGATAAGAAACTATCGTCTTAATAACGACGACTTTTCAATAAGACATTTAAAAATACCTCAACATTATTAAATCACATTCTAAGACGACGAACAAAACTTGATTCAAACTCAAGTTAGCATTTTCAGTGATTGGTTGAATTTCATAGACCAATCATAGACTTGGAAACTTATCTTGAGTTTAAATCGAGCTTTGTATGTCATTTCACAATAACTTTTCAAAACATGAGGCGTTTTAATATTATTTAAAATCCTGAATTTATGTAAATTTACAGGATTTTTCAAACGGCACGGTTTTAATATCGTGTAAAGAGAACGGTCTAGCTAGGACATTGGTTTATTTGTTAAATAGGTTTTCGATTTGGCTGTTATATCCCGTTTAGTAGTCATTTTTTATTTGTTTTTAACGTAGTAGAACTAGTCCTGAAAGATATTGTCTAACTTTTTGAAGATGGTTCAAAGATTTTTTGCAACGATTTTATTGACTTCACTAAATATTTACCTAAAGTACCTACTTTAATTAAATTTTCTTTAATATTTAAGGTTGGAAAATGCCTTTCAGAACTAGCATTAGTGTAGTCCTATGCCTTACTCTTAATGCAGGGTTTCCACAGCGGACCTAAGAATGTTCTAGAAGGAATAAGCAGTAAACTTTAGGAGTGAATTTCGGGACCCAATACCAAAATTGATGGGTAATAAATTAATGGAGCGAATATTAGATAGAAGATTGAAGAATTATATTTTATTCGAGGTTTTATTTTATTATTTGCTCACATTAAAAGTTTAGCGTGTTTTATTTCAAAATTTAACAAAAACTTCTTACGAAAACGTCAGCACCATGCTGACAAATACAAAGCCAATACAAATACTGATACTTACAAAAATGGGAAGCTTCTATTTGAAATAAGAAGGTTCCCTAATACCAATCTTCAAATTCCATAATGACGGCTAGCGTCTTTATATTCACCAGTTGGCGCCTTTGTCGAGTAAGACCAAGTCCCTAGCTAGTAGACAACTAGTTGGCTTTTCACTCGACTAGTTGGCGCCATTATCAGAGTAAATACGTATCAGTAGGTCATCTTGGGGGTCATCACAAAATTCGGGGCAACTCCCCGCTAATCCACGCTAGATTTTGTCAGTGTGTGCGTGCGCGCCGCATACGTATTGGCGCGCTCACATACAAACCGAGCTCGGTGCGTTTCTATGAAGATGACCTACTCATTTGTATTTACTCTGCCATTATCGAGCAAGGCGCCAACTAGTGAACGAAATATGATACCTTACCTTTCATTCTGTCGATTACAATTTGGTAACCGAGCTTTATAATCTTTGCCTCTTCAGATTTTTTATTTCACAGTGAAAGTTTCTTAGGATGGTTTTAGGAAAAGAATGGCGGTTAAACTTACAGAAAGATTACAAAGACACGGTAAATCAATTATTAGATTCGGTAATAGAATATTACCAAAAATCTTGTGAAGTGTGTCCGAGTTGAGTAATATAATTAATTATCTACCAATAATATTGATATAAATAGAAATGTTAATTTTTATATTGGAATCCTTGTAACAATCGGTTGATAATAATAAAATCCATAATAAAGACATTCTCCATTCTAATTTTCTTATAACTTAAAATTTATTTCATTTACCTAACATGGAGATATTTGCCAAAATGCCAAATAATAATAATACTCGCTATGATTCGTGAGATCAAAATTGTAATAACAAATTGATGAATATTTTTATTTACCTTACCCATTTTTTTATTAGATATTTTATTTACAAGCTGATAACTATCAAGTATTTATAATCACAATAATATAGGATGTTCCTTGTTTAGATTAAATAATAATTTGTAAATATGGAATATTTAATTCAGTCGTACTGAACACCTTTTTCTTGCTTGAGTCGTTCGTTGTTTTAGGTTGGTATTAGAAAGCGCGTGCGCCGTCACATAAAAAAATAGAATATACATTTTGTTGAAAAATAGCATCTAATTGCTTCTACATAAGGTTCATTTCAACATGCCCAAAGCAACGGATGACTTAAGCGTCCAATAGACAACTTTGTTATATGGATTTTCTAAAGGTGAAGTGCCTATTATATTTTGATGGACGAATACTTATACAATTATTGTTTAAGTGAACTTAATATCACTAGTAGCGGCACTCAGCACTAGTGCTTACGTTAGACGATGTATATCGCATAGTACAATCCTGTGTTAACTTCAGAATGTTTTGTACAACAATCGAGATACCAACTTAGTTACAAATGAAGGCATATTATTGTAATGATCAAGTAGTTAATTGTGAGCTTGGGCGGCTATATGAAAACTTTCCTATCGGTTTTATTTTTAGGCCTAATAGATAATTTAATGCGCAGGTCAGGCACCTACTTATATTTTTTTATTTAGGCCAGTTTATTTTGTGGATATTTACTTTCTTAATAGCAAAGTGGAGTTTTAATGACGTGAGTTATCCGTTACTGCGGTCTAATATTCAATCAGCGCCATCTCTTGGGTACGCTCGGAACTTAGTGACCATGTAAAAATGGGTCAAGTCGCTAGTTTTATTTTAGAGGCAACAAAATACGAGTATCACTTAACCAGTACTTTATTTTAAGCACGTAAATACTTACCCTAAAGTTTCATATAGTCGCGCCAAGTTATAAATAAATCTGTTTATATGTATAATTATTGTGAGATGTTTGAATGATGATGGAAAGGTTGTTTCGGCAATTTATACGAAGGAATATATTTTTAGTTTTTTGAAGCTACATTACTTTGGCAGCTATAAATATCTTGTAATTTAGCAATTACAATGCCCATCATCCTTTGTGTAAATTGTTGAAATTTAATAAATATGAATTCCATGTTTGTACATAGTTTTAACATTTTTGTTCAATGGTTATTTCATGTTTATATGCATTATTTAATTTTGGAGAAAATATAATCACCATTGCATTTTATACACGTGTTTCAATACTTATGTACCTCTCTATTTTAATAGGAAATGAAACAAATATAGTAATACTTAAAACATTTTATTGAACAGGCATTTCAAACGGTATAGTGTGGATATAATAAAATTGTGCGATTGATACAATCTAGCAACCCAAAACATAATCCTCTATATTTAGCCCGAGTCAATAAAAAAATAATTATATTTGCATAATAATATACCAGACTTATTACTTAGTAAACATTGATGTTGCTTTATAAACAAAATCTAATATAGAAATATTTCTCATTCTGAACTAGGTATCCACTCGAAAAAATATGTATGAACCTCAAAAGTCGCCGGCACATCAAGTTAAGTAAGTTTGTTGTAAAATAACACTTGTTAAAACTAAATTATGTTATAACAAGGTTCAGCTTCATGTGCCGTCGTCTGTACATTTGGTTATTTTCTTGCTTTATGCTAAAACCTGACGTTACTTTTCCCGTAACACTAGCGGTCAAAATAAAATTGTTAGCTGTAAATTATCAGCCTTGAAATGATCATGATATCATAGATAGATTATGACAATGGATTAATTTATTTGACCGACAAGTATTTTATTTATTTTTATACTGGATGTAAGAGATAGGTTTAACTTAAATAATGATTAGATCACAGATCACTGACGAAATCAATTTAATTAAATATTAACGATTTTGAATTTTTATGCAATTTTTAATCCTCAGTATGTGGTAATACTGGTCTATGTCCTTTAAGCTGTTTCTTTTACAAAAGTGATTAACTTCATCATTATCATTAACTAGCCTATCCCTTACACCCTAAATAACAGACGAAAGTAGCATCAAAACAATTAACAAGAAACAAAACACGTCTAATAACTGGTAAAAGGAATGTAACAAAACGGACTAGACTAGAAAAACCGACTGATCAAAATATATTACACTAATACTGCCCCACACGGCTCTATGCGATTTACCCACACCCTGTTGCTATGTCAGTTTAGTAAATACATCCTTGGTCTTCAATAAAATCATGATTAAGGCTGTTGCACCACCTAACTTTAACGATAACCGGTGTTTTTGTATGGAGTTTGACAGATATTTTTACGTTTGTCAAAGTTAAAGTAAGATGGTGCAACCCAGCCTAAATGTAATACTTATTCGACACTATTCGATGTAGTTCACCTTTTATTCTAACGATGGGTGACAATGTTACTGATAATACGCACATAAGAAAATTTCATAAAAGTTATTCAAAATAAGATTTAGAATATTCTAACACGTCACAGATGTGGCTAAAACTTAACTAATTTAACTTAAATAAATGCATTTTAATTTGTGAGTTATGTATAATAAATAACAAATATGATAGTGGAGTTATATTTAGAATACTAATGTAATAATTCGCGACCAAGAATGTATCAATTTATAGGTTCAGTCTTGACTACATATGAATAGAATAAGATTAATAATGATTAATCGATTAATAAATATCATAAAAACATTCGATATACGAAAGCAAATAAAATGTTTCACATTCATATTGAAATAGAACAGCACATCAGTTGTGACATTTTGCCTTTTACAAAGCCCTTATTAGGTTCGAAATTAAGGCGAATTTTCCAATGCCACTGTTATATCTGTTGTGCTATATGTACCATTATTCTTACTTTTCGTAATTTAAAATACATAAGTACATTATTTCATTATAGACAATTAAATATTGTTATAATATCACTATACTCATTAGATTTCTTTAGAAGAAGTTATTAGAGTTTATTACTTTTATACATTTTTGGGCAACAGCTATAAACAATATGTATTTTTTTATACATATAACACCGAATTTAGAATAATGGGTATTAGATTGTTTTGTAATCGGTCAGTTTCATAAACTTCATGTATTTTAATTTATTAATTTAATCGATAGCGTTTTTGTTTATATCATTTACCCATAAGCTTTGATTAGTTTAAGACTAGATAGCACTGTATAATATAAAGCTTTTATTAATTCCAATGAAAACGACCGGCGCACGCGCTGTATTTAAATATAGCTTTATTCCTTTTAATTTATCAACGAATTAACGAGATGCATTTGATTGACCTCTAGTCATAAAGAAGTTTATGAAACTGACGATATTAGGCCTGGTTCACACAGCGATAATCGCGCGGTTGATAATTCTCATGTATCAAACCGAACCGTAACCGACCGGTTACCATCTCAGTACCTCGCCAATGAGAGCCGCACGGTTATCGCACGTCTGAACCAGGCCTTACAAGCGGGCTGCACCACGCGGCAAGGCAGCTAGTGACGTCATCACTACCTGGGCATGATGGAGTGCTGGTACTTGACGAAGGCGATAGCAGCCAGCTCTTTGCAGAACTCCTCGAGGACTATAAGGCTTTCCACGAGCTGATTGTGGTCGCCGCTGGAAACGTGATTATTTATTTATTTCTGAAAGAGCTTCGTGTGGTTAATGCCCGTTTTCACCATCAATCCCTAATTTTTAAGTGACCCCTATGGTAAAACATAAAAGGAATTCTATTTTCATAGGGGTCACTTAAAAATTAGGGATTGATGGTGAAAACGAGCATGAGTCAGCCTTATTTTCGGATAACAAAGATTTATTTTGTCCCAAACCTTTGGCTTTTGGGCTTGATGATGCCCAAAGAACTATAGCTTGACCACAAAAAGTTGCGGATTGCAGAAGTGTCGCTGACATAAAATAAAAATTCCAGAAAGACAATCATGAGTGGCATAGCTCTAATTATCAAGCTATAGAATAATTTGTGAGATGTTTTACTAAAAATGTTGATGCGTATTACATTACTTTTTAGTGCAGGATTTGAACCAGCTACCATTTTTTGAGCATACGGAACAAGTTGGTTGTAGACTTAAGGTAAAAAAATCATACATACCTCTCATCATAAATAGGGTCTTCACTCATCAGTTGTAACCTCGTATTCTCTATAACTGTCTTATAATTTCGTAACCTCGGAATCTCTATGGTCAACCTCCTTGCTAACTCTTGTAGCACTTTGAACAACGTCTGCGTCTTTTTCGCAGTTGGCAACATTGGATTTAATAAATACTCGTGCAGATTTGGATGGGGAATCAAAGCGAGCTTTGATATTATAGCCGTAAGGTGCAAATTAACTTGGTAAGGCTGCGACGGCATATTTAGAAGTAATCTGTACAGCATTTTGAAGAACGGGCCTTCGTCAAATTCCTCGTCAGAGTTTGAAGAGTGACTTTTTGAGTTGCAGTTTTCGCTGCAGCAATTTTTTTCTGGGTTTGAGCTGTCGCTGGTTTTCCGGTAGTTGCCGGTTTTTACCGGTTCGAAAACGTCGTCTAGGTGTATGTCGGCTTCTGGTCGGCTGTCGTAGCTGTGTGTAGAACTGGCCGTGGTATCGGGCATCACGTGGTCCGTTGGCCAGTTGAAGGTCGAGGTTATATCCAGCCAATACTGCAAGGGATGGGTGGGAAGTTTTGAGGTGATTCTATGTTCGTTATTTTTATAAGAATTGTGTATCGATCTTAGTTTCGAATTTAATTCAAGTTTTGTTGCTCTTGAGAGCCAGTGGTAAAGTTACTTATAAAATTGTTTATTTAAAACTTTTATTTAAATGTTCATTTAGATTTTTAGAATTAACTGCTTTTGAAATTAATGACAAAACATTCTTGCCTCAAGGTGGCAAATTACTGCCTCAACTTGTCAAATATTGCCAATCGATATTAATCTTTCTACCAATCGTCATAAGTTATAACTGCAAAAGCCTCAGGTACCTGTGCGAGTCATGTATGTAGTAAAAGTCTTGATTTTGATCTTTCTTCTACCGTTATAAGTATTAACCCTTAATAGGGCAGAGTAAGTCTAAATTAAGTGCGTACTATGGGCAGGGCACATAGTACGCAGAAATGACGGCCGATGGGGCAGAAAGATTCTGGAATGGAGGCCGCGTACCGGAAAACGCTGGGAAGCGTTAGACGCAGGCTGCTACCAATCGATCAACATGGAAAGCATTGGGGGAGGCCTATGTTCAGCAGTGGACGTCATATGGCTGAAATGATGATGATGATGAAGTCTAATTTTTTTTGGACCTTAAGACAAAGCTGTAAGGTTGAATTTAAAGTGGGGACTATATTCCGATAGCCTTATTAAGGGTTAAAACCGTGTGTCTATCTGGTAGTGCCTGTGCGCGTCATGTATGTAGAAAAAATTGTCGATTGATTTTGATGGTAGTAAAGTCCGGTTGCCAAGCACGTAGAATTTCGTCCAATGACCCCAAGCTACCTATCCTTATCGCTCGCGCGCAATTGCTGTAAATATATTGCTGTCGCGACTGTGTGACGGGCGGCCGCAGTGAGTGTGCGAGCGCCACAGCAATATAATTGCGCGCGAGCGATAAGGATAGGTAGCTTGGGGTCATTGGACGAAATTCTACGTGCTCGGCGACCGGACTTTACTAACATCAAAATCAATCGACAATTTTTACTATCGTTATAATTGATTTTAAGCTTTCTACCATCGTCATAAGTGCTATAACCGTGTGTCTACCTGGTAGTGCCTGTGCGCGTCATGTATGTAGTGCTCGTAGTCCGCGCCGACCGGGTCGGAGAGCACGGCGCGCGGCAGCAGCAGCAGGAAGCTGCCAATCAAACAACCGATCGTTTGTATTCATTTAATCACATATTATTATACATAGGTACATCACAGGCTGTTCTTATATTACTTGTGATTGGAACAGGTAGAGCTATTTTGGTTTATTGACCGCAAACGTATTTATGGCACCCTGACTATAAAGCCAGGGAGGGAAGTTAAACCTTGACTTCTAACTCGTGTTCTTCTGATTAATTTTGTTGCGGGTCCAATGACAAACTTGACCTTCACTGGTTGGGTTTTTATTCGGTCAAGCTGTAGATCCTGGCTACACAGAAGTTACATCGGTGGGAATAGTCCCGTTTTTTTTTACTATAAAGCCACAATTTCAAACTTACACCGACGAATATCTTACGCCACTTTTCAGCACTAGACGGTATGTCCTGATGTGGTAGTGGGCAAGCAAATTGAAACATGTTAAGTTCTTGAAAAGAACCTACTTAAATAATAAAAAAAATAAAAAAAAAAAACTTGGATTTGACATTACCTACGCGTGTATTTTTAGATTATTACGTATCACAAGTACCAAAAACAGCTCTACCTGCTCCGACCACTGCTTATAATACACTATTTTGGATGGTTGTGCATTCGCTGCCGCTTTAAAGCGTTTTAACATTGGGCAGCTCAACTAAAGAACAGCGATTAGGCAATATTCACATAGCTACGGGGCGTATTTAGTGCGTTGCCAAAGGTTACCTTTACTTTGCATTTTATTTGATTTGATTACTGTTAGGTTCCATGATTCCAAATGAAATTATAAGGCACTGAGAAGAGCGGCAGTGAATGCGAAGTTCCTAGTGCAAAGATCTCTCGTGATTGTTTTTACATTTTTAATAAAGGTTGTGCCATCAAATAGTCTACCTACAGTCCAACCATGATCTTTTAAGAGACAGGGAAAGTATTTTGGAACCGTTACACTTGTATTTTGCATAACCATTTCGTGCAAAATAGAATCTTAATGCTTCAAAAATACGACTTGTACAGACTTTTAGGAAAATAGGATTAGTTTATATTTGATTAATAAATAGTGTCATTTATCCGATTCAATGACATATAGAAAGAAATCAACACAGTGACATTATCGCATCTTGTTCCCAAAAAGCCATAAGTCATAATAAGATCTTGGTAGGACTGTGTGTGTAAAGAGAAATATTGTGTTTGAAAACAAGAATTAAATTTAGATTTATTGCCATGAAGTGTAGCATTTTATAGCAGCATACAAATGGCACACTTAATACCTATTTTTCAAAAAAAAATTTTTTTTTGCTTAACAAGGCAGGTATTTTCATATATCAAATCTGCGAATTAATTCTAACCTATTAATACTCTTATAAACCTTAATTTATATTTAATTTTAACTAATCTCAATAAAAAACATACATATTTGAAATATGTAAGTGGCCTTTTGGAAGAATTTTACAGACAATTGAAATAAACATTTAAAATAAACTAAAAATATGTAAAATAACGATCTACAAAAATAAATTTTATACATTCTCAGATAATGGTATCACAAAAATAAAGGACATCATTCTTTTTGGGCCTTTTCTAAAAGTGCCGGCCAACAAAAAATTATGGTACGTATTGTTAGAACTAGCTATTTGGAGCAATAGTTAATATGGCACAAAAGTTGTAGGACCACTCAGAACAAAGTCATACAAGTTCGATGATTCATCATTTTCATACATTTATTGACTTTTAAAGTGTTGGCAAACTTGAAAATAATTACATATATGTTTTGTTAGAAACTCATGATCCAAAACAATTATCAACCGACCGCTCTAAGTTAGCGATCAAATGACGCGATGACGAAACGAAAAAGATACATCCGTGGCCCGCGCTAGCAGTGTCGCTGTGGCCGGGAAGAAACGAGCAAACATGCCAGCCAATAGGATGGCTCGGAGCATACCCGTCAGTGAATGAGACGGGGACATTGAAAACTGAAGTGAAGGTCATCCAGTTATCCATGCGACTCGCGTTACATCAAACGGCTACCTGCTTGCGTTATCGTTAAACATCATTGTTAAAGCCCGGTCGCCGAGTACGTAGAATTTCGTCCAATGACCCCAAGCTATCCATCTTTTTCGCTCGCACGAATCTATGTTGCTGTCGCGCTCGCACACTCACTGCGNCCAAAAACTTGGTATGCAGTCTGGTGACGTTTGGGGACCCGAATGACATTTCACCATTTTTATGTAAAAAGTCTGGCAACACTGAAAGTTATGGGGAAAAGTTTTTTTTGCGACATGGGTGACTTTAAAGTTAAGGACAGACAGAAAGAATTATGGCAGAAAAAAAATAAAAATGACGTTTGGTCGCATATACGACCCAGATTATGGGAAAAATCCGAAATGTCAAAAAATCAAGATGGCGGCGGCGTGGGCGGCCATTTTGTAAAAAGTTGAAAATTTCGAAATTTTAGAATGCATTTTTCGAGTAGTTGGCAACACTTTGGAAAGTTGAGCTGTATGAGGCGGTTGTGTGTCTTGTCGAGAGGTTTTGCTTGGGTGAAGAAATGTCTCCAGTGTTGCCATGCTTTAGGAGATTTGGTCCAAAAATGTCGAAAGTAGAAATAACGACTTCCGGTCAGAAATTTGGACGACGCCTCCTGCAAAGGGGTCGTGCAAATGACATTTGACCATTTTCATCTCGATCACCTGGCAACACTGGGAGCTACGGGGAAAAGTATTTTTTTCGACATGGGTGTCTTTAAAGTTAAGGACGGACAGAAGGAGATATGGCAGAAAAAATCCAAAAATGTGGTTTGGTCGGTTATACGACCCAGATTATGGGAAAAATCCGAAATGTCAGAAAATCAAGATGGCGGCTGAGTTGGCGGCCATTTTGTAAAAAGTTTCAGATGTTCGATTTTTCAAATGCGTTTTTCGGGTAGTTGGCAACATTTAGGAAAGTCGGGTTGTATGTGGCGATTATGAAGTTCGTCAAGGAGTATCGTTTGGAAAAGCAATGATTCCCAGTGTTGCCATACTTTAAGAGTTTTGGTCCAAAAATGTAAAAAATGAAAATAACGACTTTCGGTCAGAAATTTGGATGACGCCTCCTGCAAATAGGTCAAACTAATGACATTTGACTATTTTTATCTCGATCACCTGGCAACACTGGGAGTTAGGGGAACTCAAAATTTTGGGACATGGGTGGTTTTAAGGAATCGTTTCACGGGACTGGGTGAGGATAGAAAAAAATGAAAAATGGGGTTCGGCGCGGAAAATGGTCCAGATTAAGGCAAAAATGCAAAATTTTGGAAATCCAAGATGGCCGCCAAGCAGTTACCCATTTTCCAAATGGAACTGAGTTTTCCATACAAATTGTATGCAGGGGGCCTTGGTTAACGTAGAAAAAGGCGAGGCCGAAGGCCGAGCGATAGTTTAAAGCCTGTGAGTCGCCATAGATTTATTTTTAATGCGTCAAAAAAGGACTAGAGCCCAGTGACAGACAGAAAGGCGAGGCCGAAGGCCGAGCGATGGTTCAAATCCCGAGAGTTACCATAGTTAAACTTGTGTTGCGTCAAAAAAGCAAAAGAGCCTTGCCACGAACGATAAACGCCCCGTGTAATTTTTGCGAGGCCGAAGGCCGAGCTCCGAATGCGAGGCCGTAGGCCGAGCGCCGCGTAGGGCGAAGCCCGGAGCGGCCAGCATCGCAGATCTAGCTTTTGTAGCCCGCGTAGCGGGCGACCAAAGCTAGTCTCTATTATATTGTTAATAGTTGCGCTGAACTTTAAATCATTTAATTTTTGTTATTGCAGAATAATAGTAATTTTGTTCGGCTGTTAAGTTAAGAAAATACAAAGAAATATAATACGTAGACAGACAAAAGAAGGCAGCGTGAGTATTAAAGTATATTAAAGTAGGAACTTTAAATATATTTGTGCAAATATTTCAGTTTCGTGCAAACTGTTCCAAGGATGTTTGCGAAACGTGTATGAGATGTCATATTTGCAGTGTCAAGTGTCAACCTTCGTACTATACACCAATTAGAGGCGACAATAGCATATAGATGAATTACAACGAACTGTCCTACTCTGACATTGACAGGGGGCGCCATCAGCTCTCCGAGTTATGTGCCCCGCCCACTGCCACTTGATTTTAGCGATTCTGCGGGCTATGTCAGTCACTCTGGTTCTCCTACGGATCTTCTCATTTCTGATTCGATCACGCAGGGAAACTCCGAGCATAGCACGCTCCATCAAAAAAACTCTAAAAACTCATTTATTTCTGTAAATAGGCTTAAAAAAAGCACTTTTACACGTCCCAGTATTAACCCTACCACTGCTTCAGGACAATAAATGGGCCAGTGCTGAGAAGAAGCAGCGCAAGAAACTCAGTCACTATTGTCAGCCTCTTTTTCAAAGGTTTACATGCTTTAAAATGTACAAAGTTATAAATATTTATGCGAGCTAGGCANCAACTTGGTTCAGAGCGGTCCTACAACTTTTATGCCATATTAACTATTGCTCCAAATAGCTAGTTCTAATAATACGCACCATTTTTTTTTGTTGGCCGGCACTTTAAAAAAAGGCCCAAAAATGTATGAAGCCTGAATGATCTCCTTTCAACACGTACCTACGTAGATGTACGTAGGTACTTAAGATCGAGTAAACATTAGTTTACAATCTGATATGTCACAAAATATGAGATTTTTAGTGGTTTTATAAAATGGCATTTATTTGTACACTATAATAATATTTAAAAAATAACTTTGTACACATTTTGGATTTTAATCATAAAAAAATACTATTTTTCCAATGTTTGCTATAAAATATCAGATAGGAGAACGTTTAACAAAATAAAAGCATAAATTAAAAGCATTGAACAGCACCCTGATCCTTTAATGCAGACAGCATTAGTAAATATAAATTGTTTCAACAAAGCTACCCATGCCAAATATAAAACACATAAATAAAGGCACATTCACACTCCTACGGAGCATGTGGCCTATTCGCAATTCCAACAAACAGAATAACTCTTTAATATTATATTGAAATGAAAATCTTTTACAATTTAATTTTCTTTGAGGCGGTTGTAGCCTTTTTGAAACAAAACAAGGGTACATAAGCTGCACGTGATATAAATAAAGTTTTTAGATGCCAAGTCACCAGACAGATAAGGGAGAGTCCGGTAATTTGGACCAGTTTTTTTCAATCCCATTTTACACCTAGTTTTCTTTTGTTTTTGCTAATGTCCATGGTATATAATAAAAGATACATTATTCAACTTACTATTTCATAGGTATTAATCAACATAGTTGTTGTATATTTAGCACAAATCAACAAAATACGAGTTCAGAGCTTCGGTCCAATTTATCCAACCGGTTCGATAATTTGTACCACAGGGTTACTAAATTGGATTTCAATAAATTTCAAGTCTATAAAAAAACTATGGCAAATATTATACGATACATTCTTAACAAATTAGGTAACGAAAAGGAAAAGTAGTTAATAACATAGACAATCGATATTGTTTTACACGTTATCACGATTTTGAGTAAAAGTTTTGTAATTCCAATTATCGTAACCCACACTTGTACCTCATCTACTTTGCCAGTCTTTTGCTTTCATTTATTGTTAGTCAAATATAACTACCATATTATAACTTCAAAATATTATTTACTAAAAAAACATTCAAAATTCTTTGGTTAAGTTCCATACAACTTGATGTGGTACAATTTAGCCGACTAGGTGATAGTGCTTTTAAAAAATCGGTAAAAAATATAGCTTATAAATACCGAAAAATGTTTCAAATAATTGTGATCGACACTAATTTACGCTTCTAAATAATATATTAGAAACACCCTGTGATTAAATTTAACAAAATTACAAACTAAACATGCATTGTCAAAAGTTACTTGAAAACAATGAAAAAATACTTTTCAAAATAAAACACACGTGTTAGTTGTCACGGCAAAAACCACATGGCCGATAGTAATTGAATTTAGTTGTGTATCGCTGAGTGTTGCAATTACAGACATTCAATAAGTACTTTACGAAATATGAGGGTGGTACAATTTACCCGGCGGTACAATATACCGAACTCTCCCCTATATTTTATACTTACATTTAAGCGAACAAAACTTTACGAAATAAGAGTTTTAACAAATACAGGAAGATAGAAAGAAACAAGACATTTTGTGAAGTTTAATTTTAGTTTTCCTCTCAGCCTTATTTATCTTATTAATAATAGTTAATTATTATAATTATAAACTAAGCAGTATTCCCTGTGGTTGTTACGTCATCGTGATCGTTAGTTTCGGTGGCCATTATTTCTTCTATTCGCAATTTTAGCTCCTGGAGCCTAAAAAGTGATTGTAATTAATTATTTTATGAGTTATTTAAGCGTTTGATTAATAAGAAAATAAAATAAATGTTTACATGTTAATTCCCTAATTGATGTGAGTATTTATGAAATAATTATTGCAAAATCAAAAAAATCAAAATCAAAAAATATTTATTCAGTTTAGACCACAAGTGGCACTTATGAACGTCAATAGAAAATAATAAAAAAAGAAAAGGTAGCCCTTATGGGGCACTTTACATGTCTCCTTATCTTTTTGCAGTGTTATTTATTACTTATTAGCGCTGTGAGCTGTAAATTTTAACTGTTTTCGAAGTGATATTTTTAAGCAACATCTATAATATATAAAGCTCGATTCCTACTCACTCACTCACTCACTCACTGATCAGGGGTATTTTTGGGGTATTTAGAGGGGAGAGGGGTAAAATTGTAGGTGTTTATCTCATACTAGATTTTTTGACTGCCAGCTTTATTACATTTTTTGAACCAAAAAACAAAATGGCGGCACTTTTTGAAACACAAACTTTTCTGTCTTTGGTCCTGAATTTTTTCTGTTTTGGGAGTTTGTTGGGGTTGCCAAGATGTGTTAAAAAATTTGAGAAAAAAACGAAAAAACAAAATGGCCGCGCCGCCATCTTGGATTGAAAATGCGATTTCGAGGTGTTTTTAGGGAGGTGTCACTCCGAGATGCGCAATTGTTTTTGAAAATTTCTTTTGGGTGTTTGTGACATGTATAGTCTTCTTTAGAGTCTTATTCACAGATTATCAAAAAACAAGATGGCGGCTGAGCCGTCGGCCATTTTGTTGCGATCAAAAAAATTCCCAAACTTTGACACGAATTTTCCGGTAGATGGCGACACCGGAGTGGGGTACAATGTTCCAGGCGATTGTTGGTCTATTATTCGAGTGTTGCCATGAATCGGAAAAAACTACCATTTTGGAAGAAAATTTTCCACCACGGCCCCGGATAGTAGAAAATGGAAATTTCCAAAAATTCCATAAACTTGGAATGCAGTCTGGTGACATTTAGGGACCCAAATGACATTTCAGCATTTTTATGAAAAAAGTCTGGCAACACTGAAAGTTATGGGGAAAAGATTTTTTTGCGACATGGGTGACTTTAAAGTTAAGGACAGACAGAGGACTCATGGCAGAAGAAAAATAAAAATGACGTTTGGTCGGATATACGACCCAGATTATGGGAAAAATCCGAAATGTCAAGAAATCAAGATGGCGGCTGAGCGGGCGGCCATTTTGTAAAAAGTTTAAAATTTCGAATTTTTGGAATTCATTTTTCGAGTAGTTGGCAACACTTTGGAAAGTAAATTTGGATGACGCCTCCTGCAAATAGGTCAAACTAATGACATTTGACTATTTTTATCTCGATCACCTGGCAACACTGGGAGTTAGGGGAACTCAAAATTTTGGGACATGGGTGGTTTTAAGGAATCGTTTCACGGGACTGGGTGAGGATAGAAAAAAATGAAAAATGGGGTTCGGCGCGGAAAATGGTCCAGATTAAGGCAAAAATGCAAAATTTTGGAAATCCAAGATGGCCGCCAAGCAGTTACCCATTTTCCAAATGGAACTGAGTTTTCCATACAAATTGTATGCAGGGGGCCTTGGTTAACGTAGAAAAAGGCGAGGCCGAAGGCCGAGCGATAGTTTAAAGCCTGTGAGTCGCCATAGATTTATTTTTAATGCGTCAAAAAAGGACTAGAGCCCAGTGACAGACAGAAAGGCGAGGCCGAAGGCCGAGCGATGGTTCAAATCCCGAGAGTTACCATAGTTAAACTTGTGTTGCGTCAAAAAAGCAAAAGAGCCTTGCCACGAACGATAAACGCCCCGTGTAATTTTTGCGAGGCCGAAGGCCGAGCTCCGAATGCGAGGCCGTAGGCCGAGCGCCGCGTAGGGCGAAGCCCGGAGCGGCCAGCATCGCAGATCTAGCTTTTGTAGCCCGCGTAGCGGGCGACCAAAGCTAGTCTCTATTATATTGTTAATAGTTGCGCTGAACTTTAAATCATTTAATTTTTGTTATTGCAGAATAATAGTAATTTTGTTCGGCTGTTAAGTTAAGAAAATACAAAGAAATATAATACGTAGACAGACAAAAGAAGGCAGCGTGAGTATTAAAGTATATTAAAGTAGGAACTTTAAATATATTTGTGCAAATATTTCAGTTTCGTGCAAACTGTTCCAAGGATGTTTGCGAAACGTGTATGAGATGTCATATTTGCAGTGTCAAGTGTCAACCTTCGTACTATACACCAATTAGAGGCGACAATAGCATATAGATGAATTACAACGAACTGTCCTACTCTGACATTGACAGGGGGCGCCATCAGCTCTCCGAGTTATGTGCCCCGCCCACTGCCACTTGATTTTAGCGATTCTGCGGGCTATGTCAGTCACTCTGGTTCTCCTACGGATCTTCTCATTTCTGATTCGATCACGCAGGGAAACTCCGAGCATAGCACGCTCCATCAAAAAAACTCTAAAAACTCATTTATTTCTGTAAATAGGCTTAAAAAAAGCACTTTTACACGTCCCAGTATTAACCCTACCACTGCTTCAGGACAATAAATGGGCCAGTGCTGAGAAGAAGCAGCGCAAGAAACTCAGTCACTATTGTCAGCCTCTTTTTCAAAGGTTTACATGCTTTAAAATGTACAAAGTTATAAATATTTATGCGAGCTAGGCAGTAACGTATCCCAAACATTTTTATCTTTTAAATAATCATCGACTTTATAGTAGCCCTTTTTCATTAAGGTACTTTTTATATGTGCTTTGAATTTATGAATGGGTAGTTCTACAACAGTTTGTGGTAATTTATTAAAGAATTTAATACATTTTCCTATAAATGAATTACCAATCTTATGCAATCTGAAATTTGGAACGGCAAGTTTATTTTTGTTTCTTGTATTAAAGTTATGCAAATCGCTCTTTTTCGTGAATTGCTCTATATTCATCGCTCTTTGGGTGACCTTGAGCCTTCTTATGAGGCCCATAGTAAGCGACCACGTCTCAGATATCGTATAATACAGTGACTGGGTATATTCACCTGTTGATGATCCGGTGTATGCTCTCGCCGGTGTCAGCTCGGTGCAAGTCCATGCCTTCATGTGATAGGATCTCGTTGATCTGCTCGTTTACATGGTCCTCGTGTTGGAGCTGCTTCATCGCTTCCCTGTGGAGAAATGTTGATTTCATTAGCCTGGATATAATCATCATTTCGTTATCTCTACTAATCTACATTCTACATTAGACAAAATGTTCTGTCTGTTAAAGCCTGGTCCGTGAGCACGTAGAATTTTGTCCAATGACCCCAAGCTACCCATCCTTATCGCTCGCGCGTAATTATGTTGCTGTCGCGCTCGCACACTCACTGCGGGCGCCCGTCGCTCAGTCGCGACAGCAATATAATTACACGCGAGCGATAAGGATGGGTAGCTAGGGGTCATTGGACAAAATTCTACGTGCTCACGGACCAGGCTTTAGATTTAATCATTATTTTAGACATTTACTGTTATCTCTACTAATCTACATTCTTCATTAGACAAAATGTTCTGTCTGCTAGTCAATGCGAACTTAAAATTAGTAGTGTAAATATAAAAGAAAAACGCTTTTGTTGTTTGCTCTCGTCGGTACCAAAGTTTCCATCAAAGCGGAGAGATTTGCGACGAAGTTGGCAGGTTATTTCTATCAAAGCGGAGAGGTATGAGACGAGCGGAGAGGAGAGGTAACGCGAGTTGTGCGTAGCTGTCAACTGTCAGAATATTGCTGTCTACGAATCGTGTGACTGTTTTAGGTATTAAAGTACAGGATAATAATACAACCATGTGCACACACTTGAATGGTAGGAAAAAGAGACATAGAGAGGGGCCATAGAGCATACAACACTTCTGGGTTGCCAGATATTGTTATTAAATTTTTACCACTTAGATTGCAGCTATAAAGTTATTAATTTTTATAACAACCACTGTGTAAAAGCTGCACACGTGATATTGGCGGAATAGTGTGCCCTCAGTGTCGAAAAAACGCAAGTTCCTCGCCATAAACCAAAGAAGAAGAATCGTATGTCGCTTTCGGATGAACTTGTCCGGAGAAGAAGGCAGCAGGGATCGAGGTGCGTTCACTCGCGGCTCTAATAAAAAACAAATAAGACTACCCGAGCCAGAGACATATCTTTTCTACGCTCGATTCATTATCACCGAAGTTAAGCGAAGAGATGAGATGGGGAAATAACAAAATCCGATTGGTTATTTCAAACACATGTCGTCCCGTCTCTTCTCCTTTACGCTTTGGGTCGAAGGACGCGGGGGGCTGCGAGGTCACTGACCTGTACCGCGGGGTCACTGACCTGTTGCGCTCTCTCTCGCGCCAGAGCGAGACGTCGTTGAGACGTCATTCAGTTGCTCCCTCTCGCTCTGGTCGAGCGGCGCGGGGCTGCGGGGTCACTGACCTGTTGCGCTCTCTCTCGCGCCAGAGTGAGACGTCATTCAGTTGCTCCCTCTCGCTCTGGTCGAGCGGCGCGGGGCTGCGGGGTCACTGACCTGTTGCGCTCTCTCTCGCGCCAGAGTGAGACGTCATTCAGTTGCTCCCTCTCGCTCTGGTCGAGCGGCGCGGGGCTGCGGGGTCACTGACCTGTTGCGCTCTCTCTCGCGCCAGAGCGAGACGTCATTCAGTTGCTCCCTCTCGCTCTGGTCGAACGGCGCGGGCGGCTGCGGCGCGAAGTACCCGCGCGAGCATACACGCGTCAGCACTAGTCTGTGGATGCTGTGCTCCGTGCCTTTCTCTATTATTGTCTGTAAGATGATAACATTAAAATTTGTCCTATATTAAAACGGCCAATATTCAGCACAAAATATGATCGATCAGACAAATAAATTGAGGTAAGTTTTGTGTAAAAAGTCAACAGACATGATGGCACATGCCGCTATGTCGAGTGCTATTTTACGACAAAAATGGTTCACACGGCGTTCCTTACTTCTCTAAACTTTTACTTTCACATAGCATCATCATCATTATCATTAAATTCATTAAGTAATTTAGTCTCCACTGCAGAAGGACGACCCTTTCTAGTTTAACAAAGGCAAAAGAGATGATTATGGCCTACACTTCACATAGCACATTTACTAGGATTCCTTACCTGGAAGAACTGCAATGTCTCCAACGTAATGTCGTGGTGATCAGTCAGACAGTTGGATATAAGCGTATGCAGCAGCGGCCATTCCGAAACCTCGCCCTCGCCCACCAGCCAATTGGAGAACTCTGAGACAAAAACATTTTTTTAAATTGTTTGATCCCGTTTAAAATAGTTAACTAAATTAAAACAAAATTTTATCATTATCATCATCATTTCAGCCACAGGACGTCCACTGTTGAACATAGGTCTCCCCCAATGATTTCCATAATGACCGGTTGGTAACAGCCTTTATTCAGCGCCTTCCTGCTACCTTTATAAGATCGTCAATTCACCTTGTGTGGATATTCCACGCTGCGATTTTCGAACACTTTTATCATTTATTCCTTTGTTAATTTGTTCTATTTACACCAGACAATTTGGTCCTTCGAGCCGGATATGAACCAGCGATCTGTGAAGCACATCTGAAATCTCGCTAAAATTTGGATGTAACAAAACCTATCTTAACATTAATTATACGCTATGAAATAGCTTCTGTTTTAATCACAGGTTTTTATCCGCCAAATTCAGTACTTTTATATTTATCATATAGTCTTACCATTAATAAGATCAGGCGAGTCCACCACCTTCAGACACTTAGCAAGTATGGCGGTGACGAGCGCCGCGTGGTGCAGGTCGCTGACCCCGGCCTCGGCGGCGCCCTCTAAGAACTTCTGACGGAAGGTACCTTCTCTAGGGGGCTGTAGTGGTGTGTATAGTTTACACTTACCTTTTAAAAGTTCGGGCGAGTCTACTACCTTCAGACACTTGGCGAGGATGGCGTGACGAGGTATCTAGAGGAAGCTGAAGTGGTGTTTACTGTTAAGACTCACCATTAATAAGGTCAGGCGAGTCCACCACCTTCAAGCATTTAGCAAGTATGGCGGTGACGAGCGCCGCGTGGTGCAGGTCGCTGACCCCGGCCTCGGCGGCGCCCTCTAAGAACTTCTGACGGAAGGTACCTTCTCTAGGGGGCTGTAGTGGTGTGGTTACAGTTTACCCTTACCTTTTATGACTTCAGGTGAGTCTACAACCTTCAAACACTTGGCGAGGATGGCGTGACGAGGTCTCTAGGGGAAGCTAAAGTGGTGTTTACTGTTTAGCCTTACCATTAATAAGGTCAGGCGAGTCCACCACCTTCAAGCATTTAGCAAGTATGGCGGTGACGAGCGCCGCGTGGTGCAGGTCGCTGACCCCGGCCTCGGCGGCGCCCTCTAAGAACTTCTGGCGGAAGGTTCGTGAGAGATGCGCCGCTATTGTGGGGTGGCATTCCTGTTGGTAAAACGAGGACGTAAAGGTCAAAAATGGCACAACAAATAACACTGCTGACGAATGTAACAAAGGGAAATCCTGCCCAGATGGTCCGGGTGAATATGTAACTTAATATTATAAATGCGAAAGTTTGGATGTCTGGATGTTTGTTATTCTCTCACGCAAAAAGTACTGAACGGATTTTGATGAAACTTTGCAGTATTATTGTTTATAACCCAGAATAACATAATAGGCTATAATTTATGACGATCTGTGACAAACAAAATTTCACGCGGGTGAAATCGCGGGCAAAAGCTAGTCCTTAATATTTTTTCTGTAAATTCTAAGGGGAAGAAGGTTTTGGACTCTGTAGCTCCATAAAATACCACGAACGCAGGTCAGTGGGGTTCCTCAAGGAACTTCTGAAGGTTCGTTCAGAGGTGTGCCGCTATCGTTGGATGGCATTTAGGCAGGTAAAACGTGGACTGTAAGGTCCATAATGGCACAACAACTAGATACTATGCGACCAGCCGGGTTAGGATGCGGGCCGTCATATTACAAAATCGATAAAATGGCGCGATAACCGCTTATCGCGGCACGCATCCTAGGCCTGCTTATATGTATATGGTACGGTTGGGATGCGCGAATATTATTTATCGGTAAATCGAAGCGTTTTATAAATTTAAGACGACAAAGTCCATCGCACATTTTTTGTACGTGTGCTGACAAAATACATCATGCATGTCAAGAAATTGAAAAGTTATTTTAATTGATTAAAGTATCACTTAAAGTAAGTAAAAAGTATTAGAAAATTGTTGTTTTATTCAGCAAGGTGCTCTCAGCAGTAAGTGTTGATGAAAATACTAGAAAAATAGAAAAACATTCCTGCCTAGGTACTTGAGAATCCATATCGTCTAAATAATAAAAATGAATTGCTGTTCTTTAGTCCCGCTAAAACTCGAGAATGGCTGGACCGATTTGGCTGATTTTGGTTTTGAAATGCTTGTTGTAGTCCAGGCAAGATTTAAACAGTGAGAAAACATGGGAAACATTAGTACTGAACCGATTTAGATGAAATTTGGCATAAAGTACGCGACAGGGTATTAATTCTGTCAAACCGATATTTACGTCGGCGAAGCCTCGAGTTTTTGCTAGTATTGTGTATTTTTCCTATTTAAAATGAGTTTTTGATATTACCTTCATTAAAGTATCACAGTAGTCAAGCCATGAGAAGAAGCTCGTCAGTTCTCTGTAGCCGTGGAACTTGCTGAAGGATTTGTCGCCAAAGTCTTGGGCCACATAGCTGCAACAAATGTTTTTATTAGAAATGCAAAACGATATAAAATGATGATGACTTTCTTTTTTTTTTTGAGGATTTCTCTCTAACAAACTTAATAAATCAAATGAAATCTTAAATTATTTTATTTATTTACAAAAAATATATATGGTAGTCAATTTTCGAAAATTTTCGGGAAATCTTTGAATGCAGTTCTCTTTCTTTTCAAAAATAAAAGAATGTTTCATTTGAGTAAAATTTTCTTTCTACAGTATTTAGACTTTAGAGTATTTTGCCTTCAGGTGGCATTACCAAATTCCACCCTGTATAAGAACAGGATATTTCCACTTGTCTCAAAAGCTTTGGTAGCTTATTTTTGATTCTAAACTGACTAAACAAACTAGTCACAATTTTGAACTCAACAAAGAGTTAACGCAAATTGGTTTCACTTGCATGGATAAACGAATGCGTTTCAAATGCATTCAATTATCTAGGCTTATCAGATTTCATGTCAACAAAGTCTATAAAAACCGAGCGATAAAATGGTTTTTACTATCTAACTTTCATAAAATTAAATTGTATATTTGTTTTTAATCCTTTAACGTGAATGGACATTAATCTCTAAGTTTATCACTGTAATTTACCAATGAAGAATTTCTTCGCTAAATAATCAATCATAATCTGCTGCATCTGCAATGCAATCATTTACTGCTAAATAATAAATACGTATTAATAATAAAACACATTAGAAACATTTCATCTCTTCTAGCTCTTATATTCTTCTGATTAAATTCGTTGCAGATCCAGATTTATTATTTTTACAGATTTGTTGCCAGTAGCAACATCGAATATAAAAACTATAATTTTGACTGGCAACACTAATCTAGATTCCACAGATACTCACGCCCAAGTAATATTCAGGTGCTCCAAATCCGTAGGCTCCGTATTGGCCGGTATACACTTGTACTTGGCGCAGAGATTGTCCACGATAGTCTTACAGGCGACCTCCATATTAACCCTATTATTTTGACTGGCAACACTAATCTATGTAGATTCCACAGATACTCACGCCCAAGTAATATTCAGGTGCTCCACATCCGTAGGCTCGGTATTGGCCGGTATACACTTGTACTTGGCACAGAGCTTGTCCACGATAGTCTCACAGGCCGGGCTGCAACTGGTCACCAGGTTTGCGATGTCATCTTCAGGGAGAGACGACACTATCATGATGCCTTCGCACGCTCGGAGAACCACTTGGTTGTCCTGGAATATGATATTTTCGTGAATTCAACACATAAGGCATTAAAAATTTGTGGCAGGACTCGGAGGCGAACTGTAAGGAAAACAGTGGCGAGATCACACAAAATAGAATGATATTGATCGCAGTGATACTTTATTGAACTAAATAGCTGCTCAAAATAAGGGTATAAAACTTTTTTCTTTCTTTCAAAAGCATCGTTTATAAATAGTCTTTGATTGCTTCGAGACAGTACAATTCAGTACATATTGTTATAAAGTTTGGATAGTTAATTTTCGCGATCTCGAATTGAAATTGAATTTTAATATGTTTACTATGAAGAGTACAAAACTTACGTTTTATTTATGTGCATGCATTGATTTTTCGCATCATTTATTTGGTTAGCAATAAAATTATTGATTTTGATTTTTTTATCATCTGTTTTCACCATTTTCTGTGAAGTTACGTTTTAAATCTTTGTAGTATAAACTCTTTATTTTTTCGAAAAGCAAGAATGGTTCAACATTCATGTAATTGTAGTAGTATATAATAAGGCAGCTATAGCGATCCAAGGTTGCGTAGTAACGAATTGATTAAGAAAGCAAATTGCTTCACCTTGAATCTAATTTTGTTGCATTTAATTTGGTCGGTTGCTTCAATTTAAATTAATTTGTTAGATCCAAAGCCTTGTAGACTTATAATAGTTTAAATACGTCAAATGACGTGACTTAGCAAAATAACTTTGCTAAGAGAAAATATTTTTGATAGGACTCATTCATTAAATTTAATTTACCTATGTAACAGACAATGGTTTTTAAATAAACTTAGTTTGTTACGAGAATATTTTGCGTTTTTCTGACTCCAAAAAGGTTGCCCTCCTCTTAGTCTCCAATGGACTAGCTTCATTGTTCTATTACATTGTTTTTTCTATACAGTGTGGAAGTTTGTAATGTCACCTGAAGGGAAAGTACTCTTAATACTGTAGATAGAAAATTTTACTCAAAGAAAACATTCCTTTATTTTTGAATAGAAAGTAAACTGCATTCAAAGATTTCCGAAAATTAGGTGGCATTACAAAATTCCACCCTGTATATGGAATAGTTATAAAGTACTTACAGCACTATTCAAATACGAAAGCAGGAGGTCAATCAACAGAAACTTGTCATTATCATCATACACAGTCTTGTGGCTTTTGCACGACGCGTCGTCCGGCACCGAGCCACTAGACGTCGCGTTCCCATCCTCCTTTCCATTAGTTCTCACTATAGACACGTGGCTCAACGGATTCTGAGGCAACTCCACTTCAAACAACGGGTTTTTCTTTGGAGTTGTCGTCTTAGATTTGAGAGGTATCAAGTTCTGTATGTCTTCTGGTATGCTCAGTAAACTGGTCTTGTCTTCCACAAAGGGTGTGGTGAATATGTTCGCCAGACCAGGCTCCTTTCTGACCAGACCACATAGGGTTAGGAGCAGTTCCACTTCTTCTTTCTCCGTTGGTGACGCCGGGTTCTCGTTGCATTGTATTAACATTCGCTGTGGATAAATGATTCTATTTAATATGAGTCAGGAGTGTAGGTAGGTGTATAGCAACAGGGAATGTCTTATTAATAGTCCCGATGTGCTGTTTTTAATCATCAAAACCCCAAAGCGGCCAGTGCGTCGGGATCACATTTAGCCCGCTTTAAAACTGCGACATCGACTTAAAATAATAATCAAAACTCGCACAAGGCTGCCTCGTTCGCCGGAGTAGCGCCGCGAGCGCGGTTAATGTGTCAAGTAGTCAATAACACATATCGACCACTGGGCTACTGCCTCTAAACAAGGACCTTTAGTCCCGCCCTTCTTTAAACGTTAGATGAGCATCATAAGGGTACGGTACCTGCAGCGGCCTGTAAACATGCGCGCTATTCACACAGGGCTGCCTCGTGCGCCGGAGTAGCGCCGTGCCAGTTCCTAGCGCAAGTGACCGCGCGCCGGGAGGTCTGTCAGCCGCTGCTAGCGCGGTTAGCGCGTCAAGAACGCATGTTGACCGCTGGACGCCTTTAAGCAAGGACCTAATAGTCCCGCCCTTCTTTAAACGTTAGATAAACAACATAAAGGTACGGTACCTGTAGAGGCCTATAAACATGCGCGCTATTCACACAGGGCTGCCTCGTACGCCGGAGTAGCGCCGTGCCAGTTCCTAGCGCAAGTGACCGCGCGCCGGGAGGTCTGTCTGCCGCTGCTAGCGCGGTTAGCGCGTCAAGAACGCATATCGACCGCTGCACAACTGCCTCTAAGCACGGGCCAACAGTACCACCGTGCTGTTCCTTCTCTTCGTCTACTATAAGCTGCGGACAAAAATTCTAATTGGCAGATGGTCACGCGAACGGGCGATACGATTTCGTCGCGTGATTAAACCGAATTTAATCAGCGTTAATACAGTTAATTAATTATCAAAAATACAAAATGTGAAAAAAAACCAAGTCTAGTTTTAATAATAATATGTACAATCTGTAACCAACTGCTTATGTGGGAAAATACAAATACCTATGATAGTTGGCTTTTTATTGTTACCATTTACAACAAGTTAACAACTGTGTAGTAAACTATCATATCATGTCATAACTTTGTATAGTTATATTGAAAATATTTCAGTAATGCAGCAAGAGTATTTTAAAACAAGTTTAACGGAGCACATTAAGTATGATTAAAAAGCCAAGTTAATAAGGAGTAAAAGAATAAAAAGAACATTGTTATTGACCCACTATTTGTTATTAATATGATAGCATAGGTTAATCAGTACTATTATTGAATGTAAATACTGCATAAAGAGAGATAAGCTGTGCTTATTTGGCATTCATATGCTATAAATCTAGTCTGTAAAGGTCATAGATGTATTTTTACATAATTTATTCAAGAAGAACTGGATGTCACTTTAGCTATCACAAAATTTTATTTTACATATTATTATATTTAGAATTGGATTGAGTTTACAATAATCCCATCTATGGGTATAACATGTATTTATTATTAAAAATTGCACAAATTAATTTCTGAATGATATTGAAATAATGTTTATTTATTAGGATCTAAATACAAGAAAATTTAATTAATTTTGTTTACTTATTTCTAAAAACATTTTAGCGGTTAATTAAACGTTAAATTTGTTTTCATAAATATTACATTACCATTGCACAAAAATAAATCAGTTTTCATTTCATTTTTAACAATTTGTTCATTAGTCAGTACATGTACTACTATTGCTTTACTGTTATTCCTAACAGTTATATTATAACATGTTATAACAGACACACTAATCACATGATTGATAACATTAGATTGGGTGATAAATCAAATATAGTGGCAATACAACAAGACTAATTAAAAATAGGTCAGTGAAAGAAAAGAATCACACTAAGTATGATGAATGAAATTTATTTAAAAATTTTCTGGTGGCACCAGTGAATAAGACCTGTTTAGAAATACCTATGTTGAGCCAATAATTTTATTGAGTGATTTTTGATGATGATAAATATTATTTCAAAGTAATAAATACCTGTAGCATTTGGTGTAAATGGTGCGGGATTCTTGTGTCTTCAATGTGAATTTTACTGCTATCATCGTAGTTTTGGTAAAAGTTTAGAATCATCTTCCAATGATACTCAAAATCCTCAAACCTGGTAGCCGGGGGCGCCAACTAAAACACAATGTATTATTGTTTTAGCCGAGTCAATCGTAAATAATCGATGAATACATTACATAACATCCACAATAACACAATTTAAACAACTTACAACGTCCGCGGCAGACTGCAGGACGTCGGAAAACCTACTCAACATTTTAACTTCGTTTCTTGAACATTTGGGCACTAATATTAAAGATCTCGATACGGGCACGTGATTCTACTTAAAATGCAAATGTTGTCCTACAAAATCATGGTGCAAGTGCTTGGTTAATTAATTTTTATTGCCGCTTTTAAAACACAAAACACAGAAATCCTGAAAACTCCACAAGAAATGAAATGACATTTCGGAAAATTGGTAAAACTGACATCTTTTTTTTTTCATTACATGGGATGGGAAATTGGGAACAGATGATTTGCATATCGATTACTAAGGGATCGAATTTTTAGATGATATCAAGCTCTACAGGCTGTAAAGTAGCATATGGCTACACCATAACGTACTGTGTTAAAAGCTAAAACTGTCATTCTTTGACAATTTTGACATTGACATGATTGACATCTTTTTGTGCTTTGTGTTGTTTGCGTGCGTGTAGTGGTATTTATTTTTGTGTTATTTATTGATTACTTAATCTTATATGTGTACGTAGCGTACTTACGAGTTTATAATAAATTGTCCTAGCATCAAAGATAGTTTTTATAAGCTTCGCCATGTCAGACGATGAGGTTATTCGGTTCGAAATCACCGACTATGATTTGGACAACGAATTCAATCCAAATAGAAGAGGAAGAGCTAAAAAAGAGCAACAGATCTACGGTATGTATTTCCTACAAGTATTCTAATATATCATTTAACATAAAAAGTACTTATCTTCCTAAATCTCAGTCAAGATTCTCTTCCATCGCTATTTGGTGTCTGGTAGGCTCCCCTATGTTTTAGTAACGCTTGGCGTGCTATTAAATAGGCAGGAACAAATTTTACCTTTATTTACAACCTGAAGTGGTTATAAAAAGAATAAGGGCCTAGGTTTTTAGATTAAAATATTGTACCAACATGTTGCAATAAATAATTAACTATGATTATATTATGGTGCATACAACGTTGCAAAAAATCTGGTAGAACATTGTGAAATGTCTTTTTACAATTTTGACCAAGATTTTAAACCTATTTTAGTTGAAGAGAATATGGTTAAATAAAATAATTATGTTGGAAAACATGTTGTGAAGTTAATTTAATGTTTTACAGGTGTGTGGGCTAAAGATAGCGATGAAGAGGACAATGAAGACAACGTCAGGCAGAGGACCCGCAAACCCAAAGATTTCTCCGCGCCCATCGGGTTTGTGGCGGGAGGCGTGCAGCAGGCTGGCAAGAAGAAAGAGGAGAAAAAAGGTAACACACATTTAATATGAAGTTTATTAGTTTAAAAACATTAGTGAGCATACTCAAAAGATCATTCATAAAGATTGCTATTTTTCCTCTTATGGTAGAATTTTTCCTTTTTGACTATGTCTGTCATACTTGCATACCTTTTTATCTGAATCCAATCTATTTCATTGCAACATACATACATATTACATTGATCCCATAAGACTCATTTTTTACCATGTTCAAACTGGTTTGAAAACTCAACACTTCATAAGAATAAGAAAAGTCAAATGTTATCATTATGCCTTTATTCAATGTGTCTCAAATTAAAATGATTTAGAAATAATAATGCCTTGTTAACTTGCTCCTTTACTCATCTAACTCTTTTCTTTTCCTCATTCACTATTTTGAAACCTCAACACTCCATTTAAATAAAAAAAATCAGAATCGTATTATTATTCCTTTATTTATTGTACCTTTTAAAATTACTTGTGAAATAACAATTCTAATTCTTGTTACCTATTTCATTACAGAATTAGAACCATCAGACGCCTCAACTTCCCGTAAAAAGATCCCAATAGACAGTTCAGACGAAGATGAAACACCGAACCCTGATGAGAGAGACACAGCCGGTCTTAGAAGACAGGGGCAAGGCATGCGACCTGCAAACCTTGGAGGGAACATGGGCAACTGGGAGAAACACACCAAAGGCATCGGTGCCAAACTGCTGTTGCAGGTATGTGAAACATAAGCTGTGTGTTATATTTAGATGTAAACTATGCTGAAAGAAATCATTATGTTTCAAAGACTGCAACTTATTTGACTTTGACATTGGATTGTTTATGAAATGAAAGACCTATGGGCTTATTACAAAAACTTAAATGCCCGTTAAACACTTGTTTAAATTGTCATTTAGTATGGAAAATGGAGTTAAAATGTTCAATAAGGTCCCTAATCTTTTGATTCTGAGAAAATACTTATATTATTATTAGTATGTGATTGTAGAGGTACATAATAATATTAAAGGTTATTTAATCCATTATAATCCCTAGTATTTTCTGTTATTATTCTTATAAAAAAGTATAAGACAGATTTTTCTTCATAGCATTTATAAAAGAGTAAAAGTATTTATTTTAAATGCCTCTACGAATTTTCCACAATAAAATGACTTCTTATTTTAACAGATGGGTTACCAACCAGGCAAGGGTCTGGGTAAAGACCTGCAGGGCATATCAGCTCCCGTGGAGGCCACAGTCAGGAAAGGCAGAGGTGCCATTGGAGCTTATGGACCAGAAAAGGCAGCTGTGAGTATTAATTAAATTGTTTATTATTGCTGTATGTGATTTACGTAAGTTTTATTCAAAATATTTATCATGTACTTGTCTAAATTAGATGAGACTTTGATAAATAAAACATTACATAATTTTCATTATGTCCGTCCAGCAGTGGACGTCTTTCGGCTGAAACGAACGAATGTTATTACAAGAAAAAAATATACTATCATGAAATCCATTAAACTGTGTTAAAAGTTTTTTATACTTCTTCAAACAGCTTAAAGCCAAGAAAGAAGAAGAGCGCCGTTTGAAAGAGAAAGAAGAACAGGAGAAAGGGACGACAGAGAAAGCATACAACTGGAAGAAATCCCACAAAGGGCGGTACTTCTACAGGGACGCCGCTGACGTCATACAGGAGGGGAAACCAACTTTGCACACTATTGCCACGTAAGATGATTTATTCTTTTTTACTATATTGATAAAATATGAATGATGGCTATCGTTTTTGCGTTCACCAGTTGGCGCCTCCGGCGAAAAAGATTCTGCCTTTGGCGCCAACTGGGGAACAAAAATGCGACAAACAAATAGCATTAATCAACTATAAAAAAAGTTTAGTAACAATTTTTTGTACAAATTACTAATAGTCCCGATAACCTCTCGTGCTAAGCTAAATAAGCTTGTGTTAGGACCTGTTTCACCACAATAACCGGTTCGAACCCGCGTTCCTCGGACCTATCTATTGGATTGCTGACTATCCATGTTTTAAAATATGATGATACTTTTTACATATTTGTTTTTTTATTAATCAACTCTAACAAAAAAAAAACAGTTCAAAAGTGGCATTAAACTAATTTTTATTCTTTATTCCCATCACAGGAGCGAGTTATCCCGCGTGCCCGTAATCGACATGACAGGCCGCGAGACGCGCGTGCTAAGCGGTTACCACGCTTTGCGAGCCGCCGCGCCGCGCTTTGAACATGAACCTCGAAGGAAGTGCAGCAACTTTACTGCGCCGCAGTTGGCGCATAACCTGGCTCTGATGCTGGACTGCTGTGAACAGGTGACTAAAGACAATTTTAAATAACTTAAAAATAGAACTGCCTTAATAGAAATTTGTCTTTGTCTTTTGTCTAAGACGGGGATTGAACCCACGTCTTTCGCTTGCCGGTTCAAGGGTTGGTACATACATACCCAATGCGTACATACCCAACATTGATGAAACAAACTTCTTCTCATTTATAATTTTCAAATTAATTTGAGATGCAACTCTTAACGCTAAAAATTAAATAACTAAACAAATATTATTTTGAATTTATTTGAAACGCAAGACCAGTTGGCGCCTCTGTCGAACTGCTTTGATAAAGGCGCCAACTGGTCTTTTACAAACTTTGCCGACTCTTTAAAAAAAAGGAAAGGAAAAAAGAAATGGCTTAACAATACATTGGTTCAATAGTTGTGTGCTATACAATACAATTAACATAGATAGTGAGAAACGGGCGTCTATACTAAATAGATACCATTTAGTTAGATAGCATAAGCTGTTTTACAGAGAACCAGTACTTTCAATGACGTTAATTTTATTCTGTAAGTAATTAACGGATTCAATTTCAAAATTTCTTCTTATTATTCAAAAGGACTGCACACCTTGTCGTTTGAATAATTTGTATTAAAAATAATTTACTTGTTACAGGATATTATCCAAAACGCCCGCGAACTCCAATCGGCAGAAGACGAGATTGTAGTCTTAGAGCGGGATCTAGAAGAATGCGACGGGAAGTTAAAAGAGCAGGACGAAGTGATCGGCAAAGTGCAAGGGATAATAGAGAGAGTGCAAGCGCTGAACAGACCTGACGTATCGTTGGAGACTGCTCACGACGTGCTGGCTGATTTAAAGGTACTTATCTTTATTAAAAAACACTATTTTTATTAATAAAAATACTGTATGTTTTAGGTTGTGATGATATCCATATAGGTCTGTATTAATTCCCTAGGTGTCAATCGGGATCCACATTGCGACTGATTTTTCAAAGCCGTAATCTAACAAAAAAACTTTGACATTTACATGACGCCCCAGGTGGCGCCATCAACGTAAAAAATTGTGTGTGGAACCCTATTCTCATTGGATCAAAACTTTTGTGCTATATGCTACGATTCTGTACAAGTAAAAAAAAAGTATTTCGAATGGTTAAATAGAACATGCCACCAGTCGTGGACAGTTTTTTAAAATCCTTGTTAGATTTTAATTCATTCTTAACATTTTTTTTTCAACAGGACGCCTACCCAACCGAGTACGACATGTTCGGCCTCGGCACCATAGCTGGCAACCTCGTCAGTCCGCTGCTGAGTGCGCTGCTAGCGACATGGCAACCCTTAGAGAACCCTGAGGACCCTATACCGACCTTCCTGAAGTGGAAGAAACTGCTGACGGACGAAGCGTACAACAGTCTGCTGTGGCAACACTACGTGCCGCATATTAGTACTGCTGCAGAGTAAGTTATCTTTGTTTGTTTTCAAATTAAGTGGCGCAAAATATTCCTATTTCATAAGCATGTTTTAGGCTGTAATAAAATAACAAAATACCCTATCTGGGGGCACGGCAGTGCCCCCACCAAGTCGAGCAAAAAAGCGGCACGGCCGTACCATCCTTTTCTCGAAGCAATTCAGGCCATTTTCGACTGCCTGTAAATTCGTTGTGGATAAAACTAGAAAGCTGAATTTTCATTAGCTATGCAGGCATTGTAAAGACACGGTA